CCCTCTAATGTCCCTCTGTGGCGTCCCCAGGTCACCAATGCTACTGATGTGCTGTTTGAGGCGGGGGACGAGCAGCAACTCAGCTCCTGGATGGCCGAGATCCGGCAGTGTGCATGCAGGGGGTAAGAACTTGCCAGGCCCCTGAGTCTGCATGTCCTCAAATGCTGTGCCCAGCACTCATCCCATCTCCTCCCATCCTTGCAGGTTGGATGTGGGTGACCCTGAGCTCCTGTCAGGCCGGCACCCTGATCCCACAGCCACCAGCCCTGCTACCAGCTCTGACTCCCCAAACCAAGGTGAGCACCTGGGGACACCGAGAACAAAGCAGAGGTGTTGAGGACACCATCCCTAGGAGGGTTCCCATACCTCGCTGGGACTGGCTGAAGTTAATCCAGCCCCAAATGGTGCAAGGAGGACAGAGATACAGGGGAAGGGATGAGGATGATGAGTGGGGCTGTGCAGGGTCCTCACTGCCCTGGGGCACTCACCCTTGCTGGTGTCCCTGTGTCTGGGCAGGGGCAATGCCAGGGGGGCCGGCGGAGACAGCAGGACCGAAGATGGAGCAATTCCTGTCATCCTGCCCCTGGTTCCATGGGCCCATCTCCCGCGTGAAGGCAGCGCAGCTGGTGCAGCTGGGGGGGCTGGAGGGTCACGGTGTCTTCCTGGTGCGGCAGAGCGAGACGCGCCGCGGCGAGTATGTGCTCACCTTCAACTTCCAGGGCAGAGCGAAGGTACAGGTGGGAGATGGGATGGGACACATTGGGTTGGGATAGGTTGGGCTGGATTGAGTTGAGCTGGGTGGCAAATGTTACCTCTGCAAGAACCTCACCCCCCACCCCAGCTGATGCTCTCCTTGTCCCAGTGCTTGCAGAGGGCTGGTGTCCCCATCCCCAATTCTTGAGAGAGGGAAAAAGCCTGCAGTGAACAGGGCTGGAGATGCATCACATGATGCTAAGGCCATTTATTCCCTTCCCCATCCGTCCCAAATATTCCCATGTCTCCCGTCATCTCCTCCACCAAGGGAGCTGGTGGAAGGCTAACAGGTCTGTGCTCCTCCCTGCAGCACCTGCGGCTGTCGCTGACAGAGCGGGGCCAGTGCCGTGTCCAGCACCTGCGTTTCTCCTCCATCACAGAGATGCTGCACCACTTCCACAGGTATCCCATCCCACTGGAGTGTGGGGCCACCTGCGATGTCCGGCTCTCCAGCTATGTTGTCGTCCTCCCCCAGCCACCAGGTAGGAGGCAGCAGTCCGGGGATGAACATTCTGGGCTTTGGGAGTCCTGGGGGACAGGGATGAGGGTCCTGGCCCTAAGGGAGGGTTTTTGCCCAAAGGGAGGGTCCTAGCCCTAAAAGACAGACTCTGAGGCAGTTGGTGCAGCTGTGCCCATTTAGGGGAAGCAGAAGCATCGGGACAGTGTCCCAAAAGCTGACACCTGAGCTCCTGGCTATCCCACTTTGGGCAAGCAGAATCTACTTTCAATCTCTGTGGGATGCACTCCAGTGCTAGCAGCAGCGCGCTGGGACAGAACCACCTCAAGCATCTGCTCTCTCCCTCTGCCCGCAGCTCCTGGCTCCAGCCCTGCGCTCCCTGTCCCACTGCCCTTCTGGAGCCCAGAATTCAGCCTGACCCCCTCCGAATCCCCTCCAGAGCCCATTTTCCACCTGGTGCCACCGGTGGCTGAGTTGGCGCAGGGCTCACACCCCAACGGGGCACCCCATGGCGCACGGCCCCGTGATTCGGACTACGAAGTGGAAGCCCCGGGCCGGGGCCGTGTGCGTGCTGTGGACAACCAATACACACCACTGTGATGGGCACAGGGATGCACTTTTGGTGGAGAAGTCCCGGAGATCCCTCCGGGTGGCACAGAGGAAAAAGAATGTATTTCCTTCCTTCTGGTTAGGGATTGTTATTTTTTAATTTTGCAAGGAAGGGGGTCATTGTTCACTCCAGTATGGGTGTGCTCCCTCTCCTGGGCCTGTTAAAGGGCCATTTAAAAAAAAAAAATTTTTTTTTTTTTTTTGTATTATCAAAGCTTTCTCATTACTGTTTACACAACCACCATGGGGACACCGCACCACCCTGTGCTCTCCTGCCCCTTCCAGCAGGAGCCGAGGGTGTGTGGTGCATCTGCACCATTGGAGCAAATGAATGAAAAATGGATTCACAATTCTTGGCCAAGCGCTGCCCGCGAGCCGGGATGGGGCTGTGCCACGCTACTACTCGCCAAGGATTTGTTTTATCTCTACAGACAAGGCAAAAACTGGCTTTTCTCCTTCCTTTTTTTCCCCAACTTGCCTCTTGCAGCCAATCCTGCAGCAGCGTTGCCCACACCGTGATGCTAACTGAGACGTGAACACTAACAGCTCCATCCCTAACAGTGCCACCGCTGAGAGCTACTGCGGAGACTGACAGCAAAGCATCCCCCACCAATGGGGGCATTTCCAGCACAAAACTCAGTTTCCCCATGGTTTTGTACCTTGGCTGTGCACCCTGCTCAGCTCTTTTTTTCCTCCCTGCTAAACAACACGTGAGGGGATGGCGGTGTTCCACGCTATGCAGTAATGGGCAGAGGGAGCACACAGCCACTCTGAGCCCGCACACCCAACGTGCCTTACGAGAGGAAGAGGAAGGTTTGGTGTTTCTGCAGCTGTAATACCCATACAACAGCACTTTAACCTGCCTCCACATGTGTCCCCTTAAAGCATGGAGCCCCATTTACCTGCTGGTGCCTAGAGAGAGGATCAGCTGCTCTATCAGGAGAAAGGAGGGAGCTGGGGCCGTTGCCACATTCAGGGCACATTGGCAGCGCTCAGCTCCCATTTATGTGATCACAGAATAAATTGAGTTGGAAGGGACCCCCAAATAGCACCTGGTCCCACTCCCCTGCAATGCACAGCTCAATCCCAAGGGTTCCTAATGCAACATTACTCTCAAACTCAAATTAAAGAGAATCTTCTCTTCCCCCCTTTTAAAAATAGAGCCATAAGAGCATTAATTTAGGATTTCATTTGAAAGCCAACAATACAGAGCTTCAAAGCTTTTGCAAGGGCCTGAGAATGCACTGTGTGCACCATTGGCCCTGCACAGCCCACAGCCAACTGCACAGCTCTGCTGTGATCAGTGACTGCCATGCATAAGCACAGGAGAAAGTGGCTTCATCCCCTTGAAAACTCATATGGAGTTTTGTGCCTTCCATCTCCTGCTCTGCTCCCATTCTCCACTTTATGCATCTGGAGCATGCAAAGCCTTTTCTGCCCAACTCCTGTTACCAACACCCCGTTACCTGCCCCATCGCAGCCAGATCCAAACTGGAGCATTTCAGAGAAAATGACACTGCACATTGTCACCTACTGGGCTGCCAAACACAGGGAGGCTGCAGGGGAACAGAGCAGCCCCTGTGCTCTCTTCCTTCCCAGAGCTGCACCAAGGCTGCAGGCAGCAACATGGTCCCCCTGCACCAAAAAGCAGCAGATCAGGAACAATGCGGCCTGAATTTGGGGCTTTAAAGGCCAATGCCTCCTTGGTGCATGGTCCCAGATTGTTGTGTTTGGGGAGAAGCCGCACAGCAAAGCTCTGCAAGCCCATGGAACACTTGCATATGCTGCAAGTGCCCCAGGCAGCCAGATCTGAATGCTTTTTTCCCCAAAGGATGAGAGGGTCTCACCCCAGCTCCCCTACAGAGGCAGCAAAGGGATGGGAAAAGGGATTGCAGCCACACACACAGTGTTCCTAGCCTGCCCTTCTACTGCACGGGATTTGGCATAGTTCAAAGGGGAACCACTGGGTTTGGTTAGATAAACGTACATTGAGTTCATCAGACCATGCCCCCCTGCAAGGTTAATGCAGTGCTGAAGATACTCTATTACAGGGTAGGAAAGGCACTCCCAGGACACTGCTTTTGGCAATAAGGATGCTAAGGGAAGGAGCAGTGCCTTTACTCTCCAGCTCGGACTGCAGAGACCTGGTTCTGACAGTGCCTGACACAAAGCAATAATTAACATTTTTAGTTATCTCATCCCTCCCTGCCACACTGCATCCCAGGCAGGTTCCCAACACTGCTACCACCACCTGGTGCTGAAGCACAACTATCCCATAGCAAAGCCTTGGGGAAGAGCTCCAGGTCCAGGTGGAGCCAAAGCAGAGGGAATCCCTGTGAGCTGGAACAGCACCGGCGTGCTGGGAAGGAGCCAGGGAGGGGCTTTTTGTTCCTTCACCTCCGGACCACACAACACTGCTGTCACACGACCAAGCATATAAAGCCTCCAAGTGTCTGAACACAGCATTCCAAACTTCAAGGTGAGCTTGCTGGCTCCCACCAGGGCACAGCCTGCACCAGCAGCCACTGCACGCCCTCCCACCCAGCCTCTAGGGTGACTAAAGCCAACAGGTTCTGTTGGATGAGTTTAGTGATTTGGAAGTTCTACTTTTCACCTGCACAGAAGAGTTCTTCTTGTATAGTAGGTTTTCTATATATTGTTTCTGTATGTACTGTACAAGTAACTTATTCTTGAATAATGCAATTTTACCATAATATAAAAAAAACCTGCTCTTAATAAACTGTTTTTAGAACTCGTTTCTCACTTTTAGTATTTCACCTCATTCTCCATGGTGCTGCTATATGAGCAGACCAGGAGCTGCTCAAACTCACAAACCCTCCTTCAGAAATGGAAGCTCCCTGCCAGCAGGAGCAAATCTCCATCATGACTTTTGATGGTCGCATGCCCCCTGCTGCCCACCTGCATTTACTTACATTAATTTCATGCATTTGTGACATCTTCTGCACAGCAACAGAGCAGCACGAGGCTGAGGCGTTAGGGAATGGACCCGAACAGAGGAAATTCTTTTAAAACCTGCACTCACACTTCTGTTCTGAACCCTCCGACTTGTATCTGCAGTGGCCCTGCAAGTCACATACACCTGACGGAGTTCCATAGGTCTGAAGCTGGAGAAGATATTAAAGAGAGATACTGGTAAAGCAAAACACAAACAATACATAGGTCAGTTTTTAAAACTTTTTTTATTTTTTAATTTTTTTTTTAGTTTTTATTTTATATTATCTACAAAGTAAAAGTTTTCTTAACTTAAAAGTTACATCACTGTCTCACGATAGTGATCATCTCATCAAACGTGATTTATAAATAATAATTCATCAGTTTGACGATTAGAATTTTTTTTTTTTTTTTTTACTGAACCTGTTTCAAGTTTAGTTAGAAGTAAAAGGGATCTCCAAGTCTTGATTTTTAGTGATAATAGCAGCAAGAATCACTCTTGTTACTTCTTTTGCTAGCTGATGAGTTCATAACTTTGAAGGGTCATTAAAAAATAAATAACTTCCAGTTTTCAGCAAGCAGAGTTGGGGCACTTGCAGGACTCAGATACAGTGCATGGAATTATGGAATAGCCCACAAGTTCCTAAATGCCTCTACTCAGTCCGAATCTCTCCCACTGCAAGATGAACTGTTAGCATTCCTAGTGGATGTTACAAGAAATCAATTTTTTTTTTTTTTTTAAACAAAATAAAATGAAATTCTAGTTTTCTGTGCTTCCAGTTGGCAGAAGCAGTAGAAGGAGGGTATTTGGCCTACAAAAGGTATCCAGCCTTTCAGTTATTCCAGATGAGCCTTACAACTGCTGTTGGTGGTGGGCTTGTACTGTAAAAAAAAAGTTCAAATGTAAATAATAGATTGGCAAGCCACACAACAGTTTGCTAGTAAAGTGGTCACAGGACAACTACTGAGCTCAACTTTCTTTTTCTTTTCCTTTTCCTTTTAAAGAACAAAACAATACCCTGCATATCGAGATGTCCTTTGGATGTTTCTCTCCTCCCTAAACCCTCACAAAGCAGCTTGTTCTGCTCACACATTCCCCAAGACATAACATCAGAGGCTGTTTGGAAACAAATAACGATAAAGACATCTAAGTAACTTTAAAGCGGAAAGAAGTCATATAGCACCTACTTTTCCCCAAAAGTAAAGCTGCAGAATATTACTCTGAATTAAAGAATAGACTTCAATTGTCACCTTACTTCGGTCAGTAGAAGTCTAACAGCACTAACCCCAAGCAACACTGTCACTCCTGTCCTTGGGACCGATCGCTTTAAATTTAACAACCCCCCGGATCATTATGAGCAGGCTACGCAGACAGTCCATTCCCCACAGCAAAACCACGGCAATACCTGGAAGAACACAGCCCCACCGTGTCAGTGTCTGCACAGTTATCCACTTCTGTACTTCAGCTACACAGAAACAAGGTCTTTGCTACATTAGCTAAATCTGGCATGCTTGTATTTGGGCTGGCAACGTACAAACGCTAAATGCACAAACAGTTTGCCATCAGCAGCCCGCCATCTAAAAAGGACATCTTCCATTTGTTTTCTGATGGCTTTTTATTTTTTTTTTGTCATTCTTTTCCCCAAATCTGGTTCGTAACAGTTCTCCTCGCTACTGTGACCTGGCTCAGTTACGGTGCAGGTCTCCCGGGCACACACTCCTCACCTGAAGGGTGCGTCATATAGGGGAAATGTGTTGTTGTCGAGACTGGAATGGGCTGTAGTGCACTTTGAGCGATGGCGGCTTGGGGACCACCAGGTGGCTGTGTCGTCATTAGCATCATTGGAGCATGGGCAGTTGGGTGAGAAGGAACCATTCCTGACTGTACATGAGCCTGAAACAAAGAGCTCTTTAGTATAATGGTCACAAGGAGGCATCTCTCCTGGCCACATGACTAGCGAATTTTTTCCAGCTCTACCAGTAAATCCGGAGATTTACTCCATTTTAACTAGATTAGCTACAAAGGGATTAAAAAAAAGATAATAACAACTAAAGTAATAACTTTTAAAAAGGCTCAAATCCTTACTGCTGGCTCCGAGTCACATTCTGAATTTCAGCAATAATTTGGACAGTGCACACTGGGAGAGACTGCTAGCATTAAACAGAGGGATATATATCTTTTTTAAACCTCAGCAACAAATCTTCAAAACATTATTGTTAGTAACCAAGATCAAAGCGCTTCCTATGCAGGGAACGCACTGGGTACAGATAGGAACCTCACACGCTCTGAAGCTCTGGCATCACTTGCTCCCTTCTCATTACACAGCTCCACATTCTTTCATGGCTCCCTGCCCTAGGAACGCTCTCGAGTGACCTGTGCCCACGCTATCTTTCATCTGTGCAGTCATTCTAAGATGAGTGATTTCATCCCTTGATGCTGTTAGGTCAGCTTTGTTCTGTTTCCAGTTAAGCTCATCACAGTTAAGGTCCTCATGTAATCTAAGCAATCATAATTAAGTCTCAGCAGAAAAAAGGAGATTAATCTCCATTATGGCTGATCACCTTCTGGCAAACCAGTTCAGTAACTTGTCGGTTGACTTCTTTTGCTCAGAGAGGCTCATGACTCTAGAGATTGTCAGTTGTTTTGAAAAACAAGTAAACACTGGTTTCTTAAAAGCACAACACATTAAGGAATCCCTAGAGCTTTCAGTCAGTTTGTCTTGGAAAACAAAAATTATTTGCATCTAAGGCTTGCTTTGTCCTTCTACCGGATCCCACTGTCAGGGTGCTACGGTGCAGCAATCGCAGCCTCACGACTTTCACAGGCCAGTAAAGACAGATAGCAGGTAGTGGCTACAATTTTATTTCTTGAAGACAAAAGGGTTATTTGACTCATCACAGACATTCCTCAAACTCTTTATCAGACTTGCACTGTATTAATAGCGCTCAAGAAGCCTTTAAAGGCAGGAACTGCAATTCCAATCTCATTCTTGCACTAAAAAGGGCTTAGAAGATAAGGCTGTGAAACAAAAACACCTTCCAGGATGGGCACCATTTTCACTTTGACAAACATGCTATTACAGCAGCCGTAACTATAAAGCAGCTATTCATATAGCAGCTGGATTCAATGCAGACACACACCGGATAAAAAAATTTCGCTGTGGCTCAAACACTTTGCAAATTGGCAGCTGACAGTACATTGTAATGAATTTTCAAGTACTGCTTCTCAAGTGAGATATGTCTAACAGCTTGAGTCATCTGAGAACCTGAAGGGAAATTCAACTGATCCCCTGTGTTTGCCTAACTGAAACTCCTACTACATATTTCACAATGGCGTTCAGCAGTTGGAAATAGCACTGCTGAGAAACTATTAAATCCAGTGATTAGTTTCCCCACAATGGAATAATTACACACATTTAAAACTTCTTACAGAGCTGTAGTTATTCCTTCATTAGAGATTTTTTGTTTTTTTTTTTTTAGGGAACTACTTCATTTCAAAGTCAGTTAGTCTGGTATAAATATCTTGGATTACAGATCGTAATTTTCACCCTAAAAAATTACAGCAGAAAAGACTGCGTACGTTGAAAATCAAGGGTAAAGCAGGCTTTGCCTGCAATTGCTAAAAATCCTGACTAAGCAGTCAGTTCTGGCTAAAACTTGCATCTGATTTGCTTTAGCAAGGTTTGCTTACGAAGTGCTTGGCACACAAAAGGAAGACAATGGCCACATCCTGCAGCGCATGTCTGTCCATGGTGTGTACAGCACAACTCCTGTACGCTCTCATCTTTAAGTTGCCTTTGAAACAAACGTGTTTCACGTTTCAAGGCACGGCACTGAGCATGCCACTCACCCCCAAGCTTCCAAGAAGACCCTTCTAAAGAGCTGCAGGTGGTATCTCGAGGCATCTCAAAAAGCTCCTAGACCTAGGCATTCACACCAGTGCCACCACACCAGAGCAGAGCAATAGCTCACATAAGCCAAGTATCTGTTTCCGGCAGAAATCAGCCTGGGAGGACGTGGCAAGGTGCCACAATAGCAGGAGTCACATTTGGGCATCCTCTCTTTATCCTCCCACAATGCAAAAAGAAAAAAGCTTAGCAGAATTAAAAAGTTATAAACTCAACATCAGTAAAACAATTCTTAAAAAAAAAGAAACAATTAATTTGCTTAACTAACTGTCCCAGAAGATTTTACCAGAATTCGGGATGGGACCAGGGTCCTACTTGACTACCCTCCCTACCTGCAGTTAGGTCATGACATCTCAACTTCTGTTAGCCTGTATGGAAGGAATAAGCCAGGCAACTTGATCTGAAGGAGTTGTGCAGGCAAATTACTGATTAATTGTCTGCTCCTTGACAAAGCTTACTAAATCCATGAGATTTAGTAAACATCAGCAAATCTTTGCAGCGCTGCGTTACGCAGAGCTCTTGATTAATCAGTCATGTGCTTCTCTTCCCCAAATCCTTTTTTTCAGTGAGTTGACCACAAGAGACCAGTTAAGAGAAGTGGGTTTCTGATCCTGTAGCAAAGACTGTCATTAAGTTGCCCAACAACCATCGGGGATCTCCTGCACACGCAGTCTGCCTAGAACCAGACACACACACGCAGTTTTCTCTTTTAGCAAGGATTGTCCTGCAAATCATCTGAACTAAATCTCAATCTCCCACTGCAGTGCAGCCTTGCTACTGCCCAGTAAACATTTCTATCATCCTTTACTGAATGTATTTGTACAAATTTGGCTACAACACAAAGCCTACAACTGCCACCAAAAGCAGCAATTCAGCTTTCTTCCACCCAGCTCTCGTCTCCAACCTTTCTCTATGCCAGCTCTTCCTGTGATCATGCAGTGAACCCGAGTAGTGAACTGATTTGACTGAGAAATAGCCTAAAATAGGGGGAGGGGAGGCACACTTCAGTTGAATCAAGTCCCCAGTCTGGTTTGCTGCATGGCCAAACAGTTCTGTGAGCAGAATGGAGGAGGGGGGGGGGGGGGAGGGGGGCAGGACAAGAATGGGAATTGGGAACTGGGAAGAGAGCTCAATTTCCTTCAGTTGCAGTGCCAGCTTAAGATGTCTTTATTAAACTACAGTTGTAGATGCACTGGGTATTGGAAGCTGAGGTCCAAATATCTTGTAAAATTCTAGAAGAAAGGCAATGTACAAACAGAAACCTAAGTAACACAACAGGTAGTTTGTGCTGAGAGGTGACAGAATGGAAATCACTTCAGCAGGCCCGACTGTCCTATCTTTGTGGCATTAAGACATTTAGTCTTGAAGGTTGTTAAACTGTGTTTACCTGGGGGACATGGGCCATGTGTGGCGGATTGGTATATGCAGGTTGAACATGGGAGGGATGAATGGTGAAGACTGTTTGTTGTGCTGTAGGAAAACTATTTTGTGGAGACTGCGTATTGGAGCCTGGCGTCATGGAAGGTGGGGTTGGAGCTAGACCTGCGTGGTAAATTGCCGACTGCTGTTGTGGGTTTGCCAGGTGGAGTGCCTGAGCAGCCTGGTGCTGATGATGCTGGAAAATAAAAAAAAATAAAAAAAGAGACAGTAAATCAGTGAGAGTTAGGTTATGGTCTAGAAATGAGAGATGTTTACATTACTTTCCAGAATAAAAAAAGTCTGCAAAACTGCTCCCCATTGTCTATTTTTTAAGTCACAAGTCTAAGGATTCCCATACCTGTGGTCACCAGAAAACTCACTGCAATTGCACCAGGCTCATCTTCCCCTCGCACTACAGCTGTGTGAGGAGCCTGGAAAATGGATGTGCTCACCAGAACCTACACTGCCAGGCAAAAACAAAGAGACCCTGCAGCCTCAGGGTTGGATGTACTTCCTAACCGCAATGAAAGCAGCTCAAAGTCATCACCAGTAGGAAGCTATGGCATGCAGCATTATCGCAAGTACTACTTTGCTTTTAGCTGCCTGCCTTGGAGAAAAATCCTCAGCATTAATCTGATACTTTCAACATTAAGCTGCAACAAAATTATGAGTCTCCTTTAATCAAAACATGGAAACGAGCTACACCTCATCCCTTGTGGAGATGGAGAAATGTATGGTCGGACTCATGTTGGCACTTACTGAGGAAAAGGGATTGACACAAGTTTTCCTCCTTGCTTACTCTAGAAATTATGAGACTACCACATTTGGCTGCTACAAGTAGAGAAGAATGAGATGATATATCTTCACTTCTAGAAAACATGGAAAGCTGGACAGTTCCTGCGTGAGATTTATCATGTGCAGGTGGTTTGGGCAACCTCCCCCACCATTCTTCCTCTCAAGGAATCAACAGATCAATGTAAAGTCACAAATCAATGCAATTCCTTCCAGTAGAGTGTTTTAAAAGCAATTTAAAGACATTCGTTCCCTTAAGATGTTACCTGCACGGGGCTAGGAGCAGGGTGGCTTCCAGCATGTTGGCTTTGCTGCTGGCCAGTTGGCGTAGCCGAAGGCTGAGGATGCGGAGGGTGCGGATGCAGGGTAGCATTAGGGTGGGCATACTGCTGAGCAAGTGAGCCAGTGGAAACTAGGATGAAAAAGACAAATATTTAACAACAGACATGGAATACACATTTCATCAAGTCACCATCTGCACTTGAAGATTTCGTTATATCTCTATCATACTGTAAAAACACTCCCTCCCCCTTCTAAAATAAATATTTATCTTGCCAATAGCTGAGTATCTTACCTTGCGTTCATGTAGATTTTGCAGAGCAGTCTATAAATAACCATAATTAGACAGTTCATCTTCCCTAGTTTGACAATGCAACAGATACTACATATGAGAAAAGCAGTATTTCATCTTTGTTTTGTCAAATAGACTGGTTTGAGATATCAAATTTATCTATACAATTTAGTTTTTCCTGAAATGCTCTTTAAAAAGCTGTTACAAGCCATTTTTATTTCCACCATCCAAAAAAATTATTTGGCCTTATACCTGGCTAACCTCACCATGCTACTCTTCTGGAAATTGCTCACAGTACAGTCCGTGTAAAGCATATACAGTGCATGTATGCTTAAGAGCTACAGGGACACACAGTATAAACATCAGAGCAGAGGAATTTTTGCAGCAGTCAGCGTCTTGCACTAGAATAATGTCTCTCTCCCTCCCCTCAAGGCCGATTACAGAGTTTTCTGGATCACCACCATTATGTGAGCTTTTCAACACTACCATGAAATTCTTAATTCCTTGAAACAGTAGCAAATAAGGTAAGAATCTCCAAAAAAGGGAAAAAAACATAGCAATGTGAAACTCACACAAGTGGAACCACGTCTGTTTCTACAGCCATACCAGTATCCCAACAGCAAGCTAATATCAACAAGATCCTTTCCAAGGAGGCCTGCCCAGTTCTACTTCAAAAAGGGCCACACTACGTTGCCCTCCCTTCCTCCCCTTTTTACTTTTTTTAATCTAAGGGAATCAAAGAAACCATGAAAAGCCATAATAACAGCAAGTCTTCCTACAAACAACAAGTGCACCACTGGAAAGTAAGACCTTAAAAAATGAAACTGCTGCCTATTCCCTCCGCTGCTTTTAGATCTTGTGCCACAACCTCTCCACAGCTTGCAGCTACACTTCTGCACGTGAACACGTGCACTCCTCCTTCCAGTTCTACAGCTTGTCAGGACTGTGGATAGCTTTGCTGACAATGGTGCTGGAAGAGAAACAACCAAAGCAAACAACAACTTCTCTGAATCTGCTCCCTGCAACTGCTCCTCCTTTGTTCTGGTACATTCTGTCTTTCTGACCAAAGCTAATCACACTGCTCACTGCTGGGTGACAGCTTCTTTCAGGGGTTTTGTATTTTTGTATTGCATGAGAATTTGAAGTGGTTTTGTTTATTTGTCAGGGCTTTTTTTTTTTTTTTCTTTCCAAGGTAGTGTTATGGTAGCATTTTCTTGCCTTAGTAAACATACCCGGAAAGCAGAGCACAAGGAGTAACTCCAAGTGCAGCTGCTGTGTTGCAACCATCTCCCCTGCTACAGAAATACAGGGTCTCATTTCTGCAGGCAATTGCTCGCTGCAGCTTCTAAGGAGTTTCACTGTGCTGGGCTCTATGATCACGAACACACAGAACTGCTCGAATATACAGAAAGGACAAAAGACAAGATGGGAGGAGAAACAACATGAAAACATAGCTGCATCTGAAAGCACAAAGCTACAGAACAAAAGCCCTTCTCAGACAGCAACCACGCTGTGCTTGACAAACAATTACCCTCTGCAAACACTCCTTTTCCTGCAGTTGGTTTGCTGTAAAGCGGCAAACACCACTCCTAGAAAACTCAGACTTAACAGTGTATAAGCATACAGCATCTTCTTGTCAAACGGAAACGTTTGTCCCCTGTGCGGGCCATTATGGAGTAACTGCTCACCATATTTAACTTAATCTCACCCTGCTGTCTTGAAAGCTCTACTAAACCTTCCCTAGCAAGCAGTCTCACAATGATGCGCATCACAGCGTTTCAGGCATTAATGCAGGTGAACTCCATATGCACTTGTAACCCTGAGTTCTTCCACTGAAGTGTACTCATGCATGACACATGTAGCAAAAAACACATTATCTTCTGCCACACAGAGCACTTAGTTACACTTCCAAAAGCATCAGCAGCAAGAGAAGTTACTGTTTCTCACATCACTACTAAAATTTATTTTGCAGCAGCATCCCTACCACTTTCAGATTTGGACAGCTTTCAAACACCACTCCCCCTTACAAACACTACACCAAAATGAACAACGGAAACCAAGATTATTTTTACAGTATGAAACTAACAGTTTCCTACAGCAGGAAAATTTTCTCAACCTCGTTATTATACAACACTCTGAAGAAGGCCAGATGTTATTACCTCTGTCAAAGTAATAAACTCACAGTGGGATCCACTTGTTGCCAAAGGGCAGACTACCAAAGATCTGCCTTCCCCATCTCTCATTCCACCACCTTGGCCGCAGAGCTGGCACGTCTTCTTCCTCTAAGTTACCTTCTGCTCCATTCAAGAGCTTTTTGAATATACATGGAAATTAATGCCAAGTCATAAGATATTCAAGGCTTCCCACATCCTGCCACACTGCCTGTTAAGAGCAAAAATAACGTGGTACTCCCTGAAACCATTAGTGCAATTCATCTTTCATTTCTCTGTGGCCCAGAGAATAACAAACAGAGTTATTCTGAAACAGATACATCACACAATCAAAGTTCACAAGGAGAAATTTCACTCACAGAAGAACAGTGAAACTGAAGAATTGTGCCCCCAAAATAGGGAAGGGTGGGGAAGCATCATACCATCAGCTCCCATAACACACCAAGAGTCTCTCAGCCATAGCTTTGCAGAACAAAAATTCTGTTATTAGAATTGTAATTTCCCCAGCTTCTCCTCTCCTGTTTTGTCTTCACTATAATATCTCTACAAGTTCACTTAAATTGAGCAGAGATGCTGCTGCAAATTATGTTTTAATAGCAATATTAAAAGTGCATTTCAAAAGAAGATGTTTGCACACTTATCTAAATCCTGGACACAAATCAGAAGCGGTTCAGGAAGAGTGGCAGCAAGTCTGAAATAGGTGCACTGATCTATGTTACCTCAAACTAGAGGTCAAATTTTAGCTCTAGGAATGTAGAAGGGTTTCCACACGTAGCTGCTGCAATTAACAGCTTATGACAAGCCACTGAAATCTCTGAAGCAACTCAGCGAGCCTCTTGCAAAATGGTCTCTAGAAATTCACCTACAAAGCCACAACTAAAGCAAGTTCAACAGCTTTTTAACAAATTTCTCCCTATTCATCAAAACAGCTCACTACAAACCAGACAAGACAGGAGGGCGAAAAAAAAAACAAAAACAAAAAGAACACCAACAAATAACAGATCATCCAACATTTTCCCATGTCAGAACTTCGTAGATTTTTCCATCGGCCATCTAGTAACCAAGAAAGCACCAGGAAAGCCCCAGGCAAGGACAAAACAGCTCCACAGATCCCCTTGCTGTCTCCCTTCTAGCACAAACACACTGCTTCTCACCTTCGTGCCCTACGTTTCTCTCCCCAAGAAACGCTCCTTGAGGAAACCTGCTGCATCTTTTTGATTGTTTCCCAGCAGGAGAGATACGTAACTGAACTAACCTGGAGATACACACAGTGAAGGTAAGTTGGGCAGCAGTGAGGAGAGCACAAATATCAGATGCATTTAATCACTGAATTCAGCTCTACAGAAGTGCAATCCATGTCAAAGCCAGCTGCCAAACCCAGCAAAGGAGCTGAAATCAAGAGGTAGAGTAGCAGCAACCAAGCAGAACTCCCAGATGTAGAAACCATATTACGTAATTTCTTATTCCCCTGGTAGGAATCTCAGTGCTGCCAATGGTGGCCATCATCCAAAGATGCCCTGAACCCTATTTTCAAGAACTGACCAGCGAACAAACTTCAAAACTATTGCCAGATCCAGTAAGATGGTGAGGATAACTACATTTAAAAGACCTGAATGGTAGGAAGCAAAGCAATAGCAATGTTTCTTTTGGAATATCAACATTTACAGAAGTCATTTCACATAGGCATAGTGGACTTCCTTAAAAGATTATCCACTAAAGGAACGAGCTTCTTAAAATTATTTCCATGCACCAAATCAATATGTATAAAAGAGTACAAGTCAGCATCTCCCAAGACTAGCTTAGGTAAAACCAGTTCTGTACAAGGGACACACAGGATAGCTGCTCTAGAAGAGATTTTTGGAGAAAAGTGGTATTTCTCACATCTTTTATGTATCAGGTTATCTAAAAAAAAGCAAAAATAGAAAGAAGAGTGCCTGGCATGGGCTGCAGCTGGCCACACAAGACAGTGTGTGCAGTACAGGAGCAAGTCTGACAGTACCTTGAAGCTGCAGTTCCCTTCCCCATGTCCCAGCTGACAGCTCCAGCCCACCCCATCCAGCCCGACCACCCCAAACATCTTCCTTGGGGCTCTGTGATGAACACCAAAGCACTGCTTGTTAGATGTCAGGGACTCTCTTACTCAGTGCTTGCCTAGAACAACACCTGCAGGGACAGCACAGCACAGAGATGCAAACAGTGTCCCTCATTCTGGCTGCAGCTTGAGCGAATTCCTCTCAGGGGCTCTGAGCTCGAGCTCCAGCCTTCTAAAGAGATGAGGCACTCCTCCTTTTAAGGAAGTTCATTAACTTGCAAAGTCTTGCATCCCAGATGGGCCATGGAAGAAAGGGAACAAGAAAATTCACCTAAGGAAATAAGTGACACGTGTGGACAGCTTTTCTGGTTGCAGATGAAGAGAGTGGGTACAGAAGTTAAAACACGTTTATCAAACAAAACAACTCAATAAAACCCATGTTCCTGTGGTATTTTAAATCTGTTTAACACTTATTCTGTTGAAAGGAACTTCCCTGCCTTTTCTACATACTGGTTTGGTGCAAGGAAACCTGTTCCCCTCAACACGTCCCATTCGTTTAACATCTGTTCTTTAGATAGTGCTTTTCTGTACAATCAAAATTAGTACAAAAAACCCAACTCACTGGCAAAGTAGAAAGAAGGGCCTGTCTCCTTGCTGTATGGTATTTTGGGACATGCTGAATTTGGGAAATAGAAAGGTAAATTAGCCTCTTGCCGCGTGCATGCTGCCCGTCTTCTGGAAAGGTCAGTGTCTTTTTTTTTTCTAAAGACCGTAGAATCATGCAGATATTTGTATTTACTTAGTTGATATTAGGGTTGGATATTTAGTTTTACAACTGAATGGAGATGAAACAACACGAGTCTCAGGTAAGCCTTCCTTCTACACTGTGATACTGAGGTCTTCAGTTCTTAATTTAGCATTAACACAAATAAACTTTACGTCAATTCATTATCTATTACAATCCACTGTAACAAGAAGGTTAAAATGTAATTACATTAAATCATAAATCGCCCCCCTTGTTTGTTCAACTGTTTCACTGTCATTCTTAACAGTTTCAAGACACCTTTGGTGACTGGTTCACTTAGTCCCTGGAGAATCCTTTGAAGCTTACATTATATCCACCATTGTACTATCAGGGTAATAGAATTTACTCTACTGCTGAGACAGAAACCAGATAAAGTTAGAGACAATACCAGACCAGCAAAACATATGCAGAAGGGGAAAGAGGAAGGGAGAATGGGGACAGGAGTGACAGCACAAAAAACAGGAAATGCATCTGTACAAAACCAAGGTCTGGTTTTACACAAGTTTCTGTTTTGTTTCTAAACAAAAAAGTTAAGTTTTTCAGAGAATTCCAGTTTCTACAAGCATACACAGTTCAGCTACATGGTAACACAGCAATTAATTGACACAGAAATACATCCACCCTCAGCTTAGATAACCAGATTTTCTGCCAATGCCACGGGACAAGCTGTGTCTTTGGGCAACATAGGAACAAGCTGTGAGCCATCAAACTTGACCAGAGCAGCAATATGGACCATACAGAGCCAACACTTCGTGGAAGGTGGTGTGTGTGTCCTGAAACCTACGTGCAGGGTGAGGATGGGTCAGTGTGATGGGGTGTGCGTGGGGCAGCTATCAGTTTGTGCTGCTCTGCTCCTGCAGAACTCACATGTCAACTTCCCGTGCTAAGGGAAGCTTTTGTCTCCAGAACTTACAAGCTGAAATGTGTAAGAGCCATCTGTACAGTCTGACTGGCTGACAAGCTGAAAGAGGGCTGTGTGAGCCTTCCCCATAGTGTTCTGAGGGGGAAAGCTCAAGGATTTACACATTTCTTTTCTGTGCTCAGATAGGCCTGTGGTGAGCACACAGCTGAGCTGCTCGGCTTCTCTGCTTCTCTTGTCAGCAGCAGTTTGGGAACACAAGCAAGGCACTGGCAAAGAAATCCCAGAAGTGCAGAAATATCCCATTAGACAAAAATATTTTGCTTCAAAATGAAAAAGTGCAGATAAACAAGTGTAAGTCACTGTGTATTTGGAACTGAGAACTCACTTCCTGAGACAGGAACGAAAACAAAAACCAATCTCACGGCAGTGAGGACCAACAAGCATTCCTCCTCACTGCCAGGCAGCTGCTGCTTGCCACAGGCATTCACTTGTCCCAAACCATTGAAGAAGATGGAGTTTCAGAGCTCACCAGAAAACATTTCACACCTTAAGAACTCATAAGCAGTGCCCCAACCCCCACGGCTCAGCGCAGCTGTCCTTGTAGACATCTTCTTTCTACCACATACACAGGAAAAAAATGGAGTGAATTTTGCAAGAATTATCTCAAAGGAAGCACCAGAACCTTGAAGGATAAAAGGACACTGTAACCCACTGAATCCTGATATGAATGGGGGGTGGGGAGGGAAGTCAGAGAATAAAAATAAAAATAGATCAGACTGCTATTTTAAAGAGCCAAAGGGAAATGTGAGAACTTGCTTGAGCAAACGCTCCGAAATCAAAAGCAGCAATGGCTGTTTCTCAGGAAGTTGTTATTCTGGATTTTCAAACTGCTTCCAAAAAGAGGACCAAATTTGATTCAGAATCAGTGTGTGGTGGTATATTTCGCTCAAAGATTCCATGGGTAAGCTTAAGATCCCCAAAATACAGAACATAAGTTATAAATACCTTTGTATATTACCATTCAAAACTACCTGTCACTCAAACTGAAGGCAACGATTCCAGCAAGTTGCATGTCAGCACTTCACTCCATAAGCAGCATTCATCTACTACCTTAGGCAATTCTACATTTCTTCCAAGCAGTCACGTATTGATAAATGGAAGCCAGTTATCTTATAGATGGACACATTTTCAGGAAATATCATCAGCCTAGGCAAGGTCTTTGAGTAACACATGAAAGCCTTGCAAAAAACTTGGGAATCGAGAGTGATGCACTATATCTGAAGTCATTCCATGGGTAACTAACTGTAAACTTTGAGTCAGCCCATGTTCACAAGGCAATAAACACATTTACACGTGGCAAGACCAAACAGTCTTTTTTAAAAAAAAGTGTCTCATATGGTGTTCAGGATCCAACCAGGCTGAATGTTTTCTATAAACAAGAATTTTAAGTGCTTGATCTTTTACTGGGAAGGTGGGAGAATGTTTGGAAGAGTCACCAGTAGGCACTTGAAAGAGCACAAAGACATGCAATTTCTGTAAATTAGGTGGAAAAGTATTGTTTGAATTACGTGGAAGCAAATATTAAAGAATTCTCAATTTTGACCCAGCCTAGTTGTGCATACTGGTAGCTGGTCACATACCTACAACAGATATGCCAACACAAACCAACACAAAATGAGAACTAACTGTTGTAAGTTAGAATCTCAGTGAAAAAACTATGCAAACTTCTTATCAGAGCCAAACAAGTGGAAAAGGCTTGCACTTCAATGCTGTAGAACCCAGTGCTTATGGAAGAGAAGGATGGTGCACAGTGGGAAATTGCTAGGAAGTAACAAGCAACCATTCTGAACGAAGCTTCTGAGATTCTCTCGTGTCTAGCTTTATTTTCATCAGGGTTTGAGGGGAGAGTTTTCACCAATAAAGGTCTGAAAGCCTTTGATCGTTCACTGTATCAGAATTCTATTTAATCTAATGAGAAAGCAAACAGAAGATCTGTTTACATGGACACCTCAAGCACAAGAGTTGAAAAGATCAAAGTAATACATTTAGTAAGGACCTGTGAGAGAAAGACTTTAAGCTCTTCATGTAGCTTCCCAGTTCAACTTTATTACAAATGAGCTGAGGTGTTCTTTCAAGTAGCAAAAAAGATTTCTCGCTATTATTTTTGTTTCTTTACTACGTTACCATATCACTGCAGAGATCTGACAGGATGTTTCCAGATGGGTAAGACACAGTGTGAAATTAATTTTGATTTAAACAAGTCTAAATTTCAGATTTTTAGCCTTGTTAAGTTTTCATGACACATCATGGAATTCCATTCAGTATTAGAGTAAAACTAAGCACCGGAAAACATACAAAGATGTCTAAAGGTACAGAAAATCTTTTATTAGAATCTAAGTCAATAATATACGTGACCCAATAAAAGTCTTCCTCAGATGCTGTAACAAGTATTGAAATGCCATGTTTTCAAGAGACCATCTGTCGTTTTGACAATTTATGACAATTTTCAAGCCTTCTAGCAACCTTGATTCTATCTCTTTCCATAGCATGTTTTGCAGTGAGGCTTTCCCTCCAAAAGGGGCATTGATTTATCATACATTTGCAATGCTTTAGAAGTTCTCACATTATAGTTTGTAACAAGGAAACCCACATTTTCGCCATTTCACTCTAAGTGAAATATGCTCATCTGGTGATGCTGAAGACCAAAGTCAAAGCAATACATGAGTTGTTTCAAATACTTAAATCTTGACTTACCAAAAAAGAAAGGTAAGCAACACAAGTTTTATTTTGCTTAGACAGTAGTGTTTGTACTGTTAATAATGCTAGTAGTATCATAAAGACAGCATTTCACTAGTTGTCAGAACTAAAGTCAAGTTGTGAAACTGAGGTCACAGCCTTGCAATAAAACCAGTCCTACTTATAAACAAGAAACAATCAAGGGATGTTGTGTCAAGGGCATCAAGAGAACTTGAACAAACTTCTTTCAGCAGATATTCTTTAGCAGCTCCCAGCTTGAAATTTCATCTTGGTCACTGGCATCCTACTGAAATCAGCACACTCGAGCTTTCATTTTAACCAGCTGGCTCAGTTTTCAATGCTTTGCTCATCATCTTATGATATATAAACCACATTTACTGGTGTAATTTTGAGCGATACCCATATTTGAAACTCGAGATTTAAATATATCCCTGCACAACGTAAGAGCTTAAAAAGTTACATATAACACAAAACGTTTCCTACCATACATAGCATGCGTCTGTTCATGCGCACCATACTGTGTTGCAGAAGAAGATACTAAACCAGGCTGTGCATGAGTTGGTGGTGCCATCATTCTAGCGTTGCCCTGTATTACAGGGCTATAAACATGAGGATGCTGCATTCAACAGAAATAAGAAAAAACAGGCAGTTAAGATAATTACAAGAAACTAGTCTGATCTAAACAATAATTATGTATTTAGAAAGAGCAATAGCTTGGCCTTACTGAAAACAGAGGGCAAACCAAGAATTTTGTACTATCACGCCTATCCCAGTTGTTCTAAGAACATAAGGATGTTTTCTGCAGTGGATTAGAAGCCAACAAAAACCACTGGCATGCCTAATTTCTGCCACTCTAATTACGTAAGCTTACGTACATGATCACATATTTATCCAATTAAGTATGTTTACTTAAAAGCCTTTGCATTAAGAGTACAATTGTATTTTCAGAGCTTAACTAGATGTCCTGTCTCTGACCTGAAAGGAATTACTCACAAAAGGTAATATCAACAACAAATGACAGCTTCTAAAATGACCTTAAAACTGCTAAAGGCTTTGAAGCACTTTACAATACCAAATATGCTCCAGAATAGAGAAACCTTCCAGACTGACTTCTTAATACCAGACACAGTATGATATTTGGGACTGAATCCCTTGTCTATCTGTCATGCCATATCACATACAGCAAAAGGACTCTTACCTGCGACTGGTAGTGTGGCACATGCTGCACAAGAGGCTGATTAGGAAACTGCTGGGGACTATATGCAACATACTGTGTTGAATAAGCAGGTGGTGTAGCTACAATTGGAGGGCCTGCTGCTGAGGCAGGGTGCATCATGGTGCTCTGATGATGTTGGTCTTGCCGCTGCTGTGGCATATTTGGTACTGCAAAGCAAAAAGCACCACACATTAGAAATACAGGATGAAAAATGCTAGTTTTACTGAAAGCTTTCACATTACAGTGCCACTGTTACCAAACGGAAGCTCCTCAGCTCTTATTTTTAACCTCTTTATTACAGTTCTATTAGAAAGCAACAACACAAAAAGGAGTTCCTCCAAAAAGCATTTGTCATCACTGTCTTTTAAACATACACACAGCCACAAACTCAGACCTGTTTATTTTGTGAAGAAAGGAAGGTGAAGAGAGAAAGAGACTGACAAGAATCAACAACAAGAGAGAACGGTTATGTCAGGACACCTACATTAATTCAGGTTGATCCTACCCCCTTCAAAAGGCTTCATTTATCCTCTATGGGAACCACTCAGCAACTGCTCCATCAACTGGAAAGCTGAGTGTTAACACTGCTTGTGCTCACGGCTGAGGAGAGCAGAATAAAGGTCTCCACACAGCTGCAATTTTAGGTATTTGCATCTCTTAATCTCTGTGCTATCCTTCAGGATAGCGTAAAGGAACTTTCAGGTCACGGTCTACACTGAAGGGGACAAAACAATCCATAGGAAGAAAAGGAATAGAAATAATTGGAGGGTTGAAAAGATTAAGAGAGCAGCGTGCCATAGTGTGGGACTAAGTAACAGGGCATGATAGCTCTGGGTGAGCTCCAGTTTGCTGTAGTGAGCATGTAACCAATAACTGATCTAACTCAAGCACCTGTAAACTCCACTGCAGAATGCAACGTTGTCAGACCTCTTAAGCAGAGGGAGAGGGAAATGTTGAAGATATGTCAGTGAATTCACTCAATAATGATTATGTTTACACTGCAAACCAGCAAATGAAAAAAGTAAATACACAATACAACTTGAAGACGGTAAAGGCACTGAACTCATGCAGCTTCTTCAGGGCTATGTTCTTCAGGGCTATCTATGAACGGATACAGAGGAAATACTGACACTTTGGAAAGGAATGCAGAGCAGAGACTGGCCTTGCAAGGCAGGAGCACCCATCAGCACTTCTAATTAAAGCAATCAGTATTAGCAACTAAAACATTTCATTAGTCAGATCACAGAGAAGCTGGTGCTTTTAAAGCAGAAATACATCGCAGGTTTTTGTCTTCCCTGCTTTCAAAAAGCCACCTGTTTACTTCCAAACTGCTCTTCCAAATAATTTCCTACAGCAGCAGTTGATCTGCAGCACTGGAACCTACCATCATGAACCACTGTACAACGCTGCAAGAAAGCATGCACTATGTCAAATTAGAGCAATATCTGAAACAGGGCTATAAAAATAAGACCACTGTGGGTTTTTGCTCCCTCTCTGCACTGAAGAGATGAGTGCATCTCACCACACACACGTGTCACTTCTAAAATAATGGCATTGTTAGTCCAGCTGCTGCAGAGGGAATGCAAAAGAACAAACTGGAACCAGGAAAAAGTTATTTGCAGATGCATAACTATACTCTTTCTGAAAAAACAGATTCTTCTCATTGACAAAAACTCTATTAAGGCACCGCTCAGGGCTCTGCTGCAAATCAGTACAAAGAATACACCAAGTTCCCTTTTAAACAAATCTATAATATTTATGAGGAATAGGAGGAAAAACAGCTTACACTAATTTTCCAAGTAACAGAGACATTTTCCAGTTTCTTAAATTAAATTCCAAAAGCAGAAATGTCATGTTACTCAAACTTACAATGGATTTGGCCAAATTACATTACCTAGAAACGACTATTTCCATTTAACTCACCTTCCTTAAGAATAGTATTTAAAATCTCAATTTGAAAACAAAAGCACATGGGTTAGAAAATACACAAACATTTGTTATTTTGTTCATGCTGCATGCAAACTAAGAACCAAACAGGCAGTATTATTCTCACCTTTACCTGCTCTATATGTCTTGGCTTGGTTCACTGGCATGGGCGTCATGGGTATAGGATACAAAGGCTGAAACAGAAGAGGAGTTTAAGCTAAAGATTCCTTATAAAAATGTGTATGTGTCTGTTTTGGGGTGAACAGCTTTCAGACCTTTCACTCTGAGTCAAAAAATAAAAAAGAAATACAATGACCTCTAATAATACTAGAAGCCATTTTTCTTCTTAAAACTTCACTGACACAGGTAACAAACACAACACTCATCATGGCATATCAGAACTCTCTGTAATAAGTTTCCACTATGAAATTGGTTTCAAGACCTGCCATATCCTGGTTTTCAAACTCTTTTCAGAGACTATTTATACAAATGTATATGCCTTAGGTTAAACATAAGACTGAAGCCTCACAGAAGTTTCTTGCAAACTCCTTTATTCCAAACAAGAAGAACTCTTGTGACCTTGTTGAAGCTGACAACTAAATCACTCATTAACACATTCTGAGCATAATGAGTGTTTTATGAGAGCAAAGTTACATCAAGATTGATTGCTTCCTCCACTACCAAAACCTTTAACCACAACGTTAGGACTGTTAACCACATTTTTTTTTTTAATAACCAGCAACCATTTTGAGCAAGAGGAAGAGAGAAAAAAAAAAATTCCGGATTTCAAATACAGTTTAGTGAACTCTGCCTAACCTATGTTTTCTTTCACCACTGTGACTAAGTCTGCACGTACAACCAACCAAGACCATATGGTTTGCAATAACCTGCCAAGTAATGCTAGTATTGTTACTGCAAGCAATGTATTAAATCAGACAACTTTATAGCAGTTAGGTCTGAAAGCCCAGTGATCTCTGCAACAAGCAGAAATTAGTGGGACACAGCTGGAAGCTAAGGACAAAAAAAAACAGTTGCTTAAAACTTAAGTTAGCAGTACTGTGCTGGGAGCAAGGGGGAGGAGGTCTGTGCAGATTAACAGTAAATGCAAGTAACAGCTGCTGGAATTTACAAGTGTTTGAGACTATTATAGCTCTCAGGTTGAAAGGCCACTGGGGGAAAGTCAGTATTTACATAGCTAAAACTGAACAACAATGTAATTGTTCCCATATTTATGGGAGTAATACTTAGATGTCCTAAGTCTCCCCTTTTGGCTGACAATCATCTGAAAAGTGTCAACAAATTTACATTACGTGCTGCACTTTACCTGCACGCCTGGACTCACTGGAACCGGGTACATCATATTTGGTGCAAAACAAACAGGCTGAGTGTACACTGGAGTTGGCTGCTGATGGCCCACCATGGAAGGGCTTGGTTGAGCTTGTGGGCGAGGGGAGGTTGGTGTAGTAGAAGGCTTCGGCTACAAACAGAGTTCAGCAATGCATATGTAAGATTAGCTTGACTGTACTTCAAGTAAAAGGTTTGCCTCTGAGCAAATGTTAAACACTATCAATTAACTTACCTGAGCAAAAGATCGAGGGTTGAATTCTTTTGCATTAGGATTCAGTGTTGATTTTCTAACTTGCCTAAACATAAAGAACAGCAAAATACATCACTGAGCATTATTCCATTACAGCACATATGTTGAACTCCCTAACAAATAAAAATCTACAGAGATTAAATATTTCATTTCCATCTGTGAGTCAGATTTCTGAGAACTCAAACAACACAGCATACAAAAAGCCACTCTCACTGACGCTACTCATACTGCACTTCTCCACAAAGAAGTTTTCCTGCTGTTGATACTTCAGTTCACATGAGGCAGGAAAACACTTAACTCATCATCTAGACATAGAACAGACATCAAGAGGACTAGAGCTACGCTTGCAGCTCTACCACTGACTCATAAAGTGGTTTTCATTCAGCACAGGCATCTCATCTGCTGCTTCCTTTGCTCAATTAAGAGACAAATTACATCAGTCATATAAACATTAGGATATAACATGTTCATAATAGCTTATGTACTAACAATTAAATGCTAATAACAGATTTGCTTATTCTAAAAGACATAGTTACTCACTCAGAAGTATCCTTCTTCTCCTCTTTATCCTCTTTATCTTGTTTGCTTCCTGGACCAGATGTCTGTACACCTTGTGAAGTTACCTCCGGCCCTCGCTTTTGCTCAGAGCTATTACTTATTGATGGAGAAATACTAGGACTATTGGGTTTGCTACTGCCACCATTAGAGTTAGTATTACTGCCAGTTTCTATGATAGGTTCTTTAGGGGCTGGGTCTGTCTTTTCTTTAACTACATCTCTTGATTTTTCACCTTCTCGGGTTTTGTTTAGCAGCTGATCCACTGCATCTGAAGAGGAACTTGACTGTAACTGGAAAAGAACCCAAGGTATATGTCCATTAAATTAATACACAAAACTAGGAACAACAACCTAACACCATCACAGAGTACAGTACAGTTCCACAGACCTCAACCATTTGGAAATGACCTTTTCAAACACGTATGTCTGGTAGAAAAAAAAAAAAGAACACTGACAACATTTTAAGCCTACACTCTGCAAGAAGCTTTTCAGAGGTTGTCTGACCTACATGTTGATTAGAAGTGACAGGAAAGCTTAAGACCACGCCTTAGACTCAGCCCCCTCCATGACATTTAACAGTAACTCTTGAAAAGCTGACCTGATTTAGTAAATCATTACAACCAGGAAACATGCAGTAGAACCGCAGATGTTTGTCTCCAGTTTTTCTCAGCTAAACTCTCCATTAAACTCTGAAGCAGCTTTTCCACACAGCACAAACATGTTAATTCTTTGTACCTAACTCTCACACAGGTTCTGAGCAGCATTTTCAGCGTACAGTATTTAAGCTGATATGCATACTTGTGCACTAGGCAATCAGACAAGCAAGACTTAGCAGTGAATTTTATAACATTCAGTGTGAGCTCTTATGGACATTTCCACAAATTGAGCACAAGTTTTAAGGCAATGTTTCCCCATTAACATATGCAGTGTATTCAGCTCATTAAAGTAATCTGGATGCACGAGAACTATGATATCATTAAAGATAGTGGACAGAGAAACTTACCCTAAAGTCATTCTTAAATTTCTTTAAATCATCAATCTGTTTTCTATGTTCTGAAACAATTGGAGATACACCTGCCAAAGACAAGACCAGAATTGTCCAAGCATCTCTAACACAGGTTTTTATCTACAACCACCACATTCCTAAATTTGCAAAAAGACAATGCTTGCATATCTAGAAATTAAATATAGATACATCACTTTATCTGCAATTTGGTATCATCCCATGATCTGCATGTATGAGGACACAGAAATAGTCTGTAAGAGCATGGCATTATGTAACTGACACATCTATAGTTCTAACACACACTAAGACAGAAGCCCTGAGGTATAAGGACTGCAGAACCCAGATGAACACAAAGAAACATGCAATAGAACCCTCAAAGCAAAACATGCCAGCATTTTAAAAATATCAGTTAAAGCTGAAATGCTGACCAAGTTCCACAGTGCAAAAAGATTTTTATGAGAAATGCAGTAACAAGCAATACTGCAGAGAAAAAGGCAACATTAAGGCATAATAGGAAGAAGTGTAGTTAAAAAAAAACAACTGTGTGAATCACAATGACCAGAAGTATTGTGTGCACAGCTTTAAGTAAAAACCCCATCCAGACCAAGAGGAAGAAGAAAAAAGGGGAAAAAACCCACCAAAAAACACACTATCCACATGAATATCTCTCTACTCTGAGTAGATGAAAGGAGTCAAGAGCAATACTTAAAACTGTAGGTCTCTGTCACTTTAGAACTGCATGACATGATTTTCCCTATCATGTCATTCCCTACAGATTGCCTCAAAGTTTTCCTTAAAACATTAATTAAACTAGTCAGTACAGCAGGTTTAGGGCTCAGAATTATACATTATTCTAGTACTTATGGAAGCTTTTGATACCAACCTTTGCTTTCAGGTTTAGGAAAACTAGGAGAAGTCTCACTTGGCTTTATATTCTCCTTGTTTCCAGCTGCAGAATTTTGCCTCTGGTCCTGAAGCCTGGTATCTTTAGCTAGAAAAGAAGTTGTCAAAGTTATTCTCTGATACACAACTAAAACTGAATAAAAAGAGATGACAAGATGGGAACAAAGGAGAGATTTAACCATGTTTAGCTTATAAAGGAAAATCTCTATGTTACACATTTTCTGCTAGCTCTTTAGGGTCTGGAGAGTTATCCTTCCTCTTTGCCCATCCTATGGCTATTAAGTCAAATGAAAGTGTCCCAGACCTCGCTCCTCCCAGTCATACACAGATCCTTAGCTAGTGAAAAAAACCTTCAAAACGAAAGGAAATTATTTCAGATAGAAAAGCTCTTCATATGTAATTTTACAAAGATTTGAGAGGCAGATCTCTATGACCGTGCTCTTGAAATGTTCGTTCTTTCACTATGCTTGTAACATTCTAAGAAATTAGTGATCTGAGTTTCTTCAAATGAGAAAACAGCAAAAAAAAAAAAAAAAAAAAACCATTAAAAAAAAATATCCTAAATTAGGTCAAACACCCATATTTCCATACCTGATAAAGGGCAGGGGAAATTAAGTATGCAGTCTAACTAAAAAGCCTTTTGAACCTTACTTTTAAGTCATCATCGTGGGGAAAAAGGGAACTCAGGACATAGAAAAATCAAGCGCATCAGTCAGAATTTTTCCCATCGTTTAATAAAGCAGCTTTGATCTTGTAAAGGCATTTTCATTTTCAGAGATGAGGCAAGGGAAGCACCTGCCAGCTAGTGAGGGTTACTCACCTTCATTGGAAGGGGTAACTGCTCTGTTGGATGCAGGGCTGGCAGGTGTCGGAGAGGCAGCTGGAACAGGCATGGCAACAGATTCAGTGGGAATAGTACCAGGCTGAGGAGAAGGCAGAGCTGGTCCTGCAGGAGTGCTGCTCTGCCTTGGGGACCTAGGCCTGTGTGTTTTAGGGGATAATCTTGGAACTAGAAACAAACAGGAAAAAACAGTTATAGGATAAGTTTCCTCATTTGCTCAGCAGTTTGCTTAATTTTAAAATGACTAAGAACATGCTTTAAAATATTCAATGGAACATTATCTAGTGACTGAAAACCTGTTTACCTTTCAGGTACATTTCCTAGTTCTTTACAATGCAGCATTTCAGGTAAATGGTACCATTTTCCTGCAGATTGTCCCCTAACAATATCACTGCTCTGCAGATCCACCAAGGAACTGCAATGTGGTCTCTGGCCCCTCAGTGGTACAAGAGCCCACATTAACAAAGTTTCAGACAGGAAAGAAAAAGGTGGTTGCATCTCCACACAAATACGAAACATTTTTTGAAAGGCTGGGGGGGGGGAAAAAAAAAAACCACCAACCAACCACCTTCCACTTTACAGTGTGCCCTCCTATGGAGGTCTGCCAGCTGCAAAAACCAAAACCAAAAACAAACAAAAAAAAACAACAAAAAACCTCAGCACATCTCATTGAAAAATCTGATGTCCGCTTCTGTCCCTGCATTAAAGCAGCAAAGAAAGCTGTGTATTCTTTAAAAGGTAAGTTGTACCTCCTGCTTCCTGCTCATTCCACAGTGGCTAGTTAGTTCCTTTATGTCATACATTCATACATAAACTTCAAGTGAGCAAGAAGAAAGAAAGGTAAATTGCTTAACAGTTCTACTTGCATGTCACTGATATGTAAAGTCGGTGCAGGAAGGGAAGATGAATTGGAAAGAATGCCAGAACAGAAGCGTTTAGAACTTCTCTACAAGGCAACCAGTTCTATGGGTTGTCCATGCGTTAGGCAGTAAGTCATATCTGCTTCCTAAAAAATGCCTTCCCATTGCCCTTCTCTACAATTCTAACACCACTAAGAAGTATCAGACTCTGAACTGTTGCTCACTTGCACCTGGAATCAAGAAAGCACTCAGCTGCTGACGACTGACCAGAACACTGTCCCAACTACAAAACCAGGGTTGCTGTCACAAGACTGAGCTTTACATTTAAAGCCAAACATGGAAAAAAAAAAAAAAAAAAAAAGTGTTAGCTGATTCAGAAAATACATTGATTCTATCTACTGCTACAGTAGTTATGACAAACACAACACAACCACTTATAATCTGCATCGTTTTTTAAAGAAAAAACGTACGTCCAACTTCACTTGAGTATTATTTCATCTTTTCTTGTAATGCCAGCCTTCCTCTACCCAAATGCCTCACTCCTTTCTAAACCATAACAATCCAGCTAGGCTGTCACTAACCAAATTCAGCAGAAAAGTATCTAACTTCTTCTCATCTCCTTCAATAACATGCCAGAAGGTTATTTCTTTCAACAACTCCCACATTTTTCCTTTCTTTCATACAGCAACTGACCTGTCCTCTCTGCAATTCAGACAATATTACACTTTAAGGATCAACTCACCAGTTGTTTCACTAAACTACCTGGTAACATCTTTCTCCAGCTTCATCTAAGCAAGCTAAGTTAGCAGATCAGTGTATTCAGAGCCTGGGTTGTCTAGAAACGCAGCACTCTGCTTAGCATTAAGACTCTAAGATACCCCTGGCAAGCCATCTGCAATAAGCCAAGCTTTACCTACCCCCACTGACAACTGATGACCACGTCCCACCTGAAGGGCTGCCTCGTGCCACTGCAGTAGTAGATGCTTCCCCTGGTGCATTATGAGATACAAATTCTAAGCCACTTGAAATTGTACCCCTACCAGTAGAGACTCTGTGACCTCGAGGGTGCCGTTGTGCCTTAGGAGACATCCGTGGAGGCCCTGAGAAAAAGAAGACAACCCCACACAATAAGTACTCAACATCCATCACAAAGCATACTCAAGTATACTGTCTGTTTATAAAAGTGGATTTAACCTAGTAACTCACAATAATGCAATCACACTGGCATAGACTAGAACCAGGGATCTGTGAGACCAAAAAGATCAAGCCACTGGTCCAGCCAGACTAGCAGCATCCTCATCACCTTACTAAGAAAAAATATATTAATTGATATTTAGAAGTTTTACCAGATTTAAAAATTTGAATCCAAGCATCCAATATTGCTTACAGCAAGAAAAGACAAAAAAAAAATTAGTGGCCCATCTCCTGCTGGATGATCACAGTTCTGAGCTGTCAAACATTTCCAAGAGGAAAAAAAAAAAAAAAGGATTGCATTGTTTTTGTCAGGTGGTCAGTGATGCCAAACATTGATTTACAGAGCAGCTGCCAACCCTGGCTGACCAACGCTGGTGGGGAATTCCAGCAGATCATTCTGCACAGAGGCTGAATTGCCTGCAGCAGGTCACAATTCATTAACAAGTCAGCAAAATTGCAACTAAACAAGTTATTGTTATCCCAAGGTTCCAGTCATGCATGTTTAACACCAGAAGCTGAAGTCATAAGAGAATACAGTAATTCTGAACAGTTTCTACAGCTGCCACAAAAAAGTCATACTCAAGTCTAAGCAGCCATACAGTCTCTACATCCTAACAACATTTTCTTTATAAGATCAGATTCAAATGTTGATACCCTAGAAGGAAAAATGGTGGATGACCATAAGACAATCTGGCTGATGACAGTTCATTTTTCATTTAGATCAGTAACAGAAGTACAGGTAGCAATTTCCTGGTTTCATTTATATAAAGCTCTAAAATACCAAGTACCTCTTCTGGTTATATAAAACTTTAAACATTAGCCTCTTTTTTAATCATGAATCTAAAGCCCACTTGAATCCAATTTATATACAAGCACGTATTTTACAGAATACACTTCCCAGCAATTCTCATGTTGCAGTAAGCAGTTCACTGCATGCCTGACAAGTCAAACACAAGTGCTCAAAAAATAACTGAACTTGTACACGGATTCTTTATATCTTGCTACTTCAAAGAAATCCCACACTGATAAGTTTAACTGGCAGTAGAACACCGTGCAGACATGTTTGCTACTGTCCACTTTTTGGTTACGGATCATGCTGAGCATTTATCAGGCAAGCCATAGAACACGCTACTGATTCAGTGAGCACGATTCTCTAACCTGGCTCCAGCAGAGCCTATCATAGCACAGAGTGCACGTTTCCAGGGAGCTTAGGTAGGTAGCCACCTTGCATTTTTCCAGGATTGCCAGACTGTGCTGTGCAGGACAGGTTTTTGGTTGTTTTGTTGTTTTTTTTTTTTGTTTGCTTTTTTTTTAGTGCACTTAAAAATTTGGACCTTTTTTCCTTATTCAGAGTACAAATACATTTAGTTCAGATTCTACTGCATACAGTTACCAAGGATCATGTGTCAAAGTTCCCATGCATACATTTGGCTACCAGGGACTTGTCCTGCCTCAGTGCAAACTTAGACCTAATGTTTTCTACTGATTCATCTTTGAAGCAGCTCATCCTATCCCATTCCACACTGCACTTATTAACTATAGTGTTCTCTTTTTTAAAATAAACGAAAGGTGATTGAATCATTTTAGTTAAATTTGAAACTGCTTTTTGTGAAACAACTGTTTTCATATATTTTTTTAGATTTTTATAATTTGATATTCCTAACAGTGCTCTCTATACTTATCGGGTCCTGCATGTTGTTGTTGGTTAAGACACTGAGCAGCGTTTACAAAGCTGAGTTCATTTCATACCAACTTGGGAAATTTCACAGCTTTATTTTGTTTTTGTAAAGCTCTTCAAATAAAAAGGTTAATAGAAATAGTCTGATAAACTAAAGTTAAACACAAATTATAGGTTAAGTAATGAAGAGGAAAAACAATTTTGTAATTAAACTCACAAAGGAGTTAAACAAAGACAAACAAAAACATGAACAAATTGTGGTATTGTACCTTCTGAAGACATGCGTTTAGGCATAGTAGAGACAGGAGCTGGAGAACCATGAGCAGAGGGGTGAGACGGGGGCCTGGAGGGCCGCGAGGGGGGCCTGGAGGGCGGCCGTGTAGGGGTGGCTGCCCGAGGTGGAAGAGAGTTGGGACCTGACTGGTAGCGAGAAGGTGGGCGAGAGGAAGGAGATGGGCAAGGCGATGGCCAGGGAACACCTGACAGAACAAATGATATGAAGGAAAGTATAAAAACTAAAGAAAAATTATGGGGAAAAAGGTCAACAGAAAAAAAAAAGTAAAATATGACAAAATGATTTCTCACGTTTAACCCTTTGGGGGTAGGTTAATTTATTTCTGCAACCAATAAAGTAGTCTCTGTAAGATTCTGGACTCTGCTTCAGGTCAAATTTAATATCTGAACGTCACAAACTCCCCAAAGGGTTAATTAGGATCTACAAATACTACTAAGGAATAGACAGTAAAGTTTGATCTGTTAGCCTACCATGTATAAGTTCTACAGTACGCATCGGTCCTCCATCAGCTACCAGAGGCTCTCGTACAGCGTAGGACTGAACGCACAAACTGCTACTTGCAAACCAAATGATGAGCAGTACCAATTCTAGGAACTGTATCTTTACAAAAAACAGCGGTGTTCAGTGTCTGAATCCTGACATCTATGCCTCTACCAGTTACCTGTGGTATTAATGTGGTATTTTAATCTAGGATATAGGGTTCATTGTTTCCAAACCAAATACGTTTTATTTATAAGCCATTTTGAGTATGCTAAGTGTATGATGTTGACTCAGCAAAGTAATAGGATGGCACAGACCACAAATAGTACAAATTTCAACTTGTTTGGGCAAGACTCAGTCGTACACCCTTTTTATATTTGACTCTATTTAAGAAGAAGGTTTCACTTACCTTTAAATATCTCTGACTTCCTCTCCACATAGAGGCACTTGAGCATTATGCTTTTTTTTTTTTAACTATTATTATTTTTAATTCACAGCAATCTCATTTAATAGTACTTTTAACATATAGAAACAGTGCCTCAAAGGTGGGCTACTGCTAAAGTCCATCTCTCAAAAACTGGTATTCAGTTTATAAATCACCAATTTCTGCTATTCAGTGCCTGGCAATGTCCATTCATAAATGTTACCTATGCATACAGCAGAAAACACTCAAGTAACTATTTGGAGAGAAGACTTGACTGATTTTCCTGTGATAACTTTTCCTAGTTTCCCATCAATGGTTTTTCCACCCACATGATGGTGAAGCCAGCGAGTTGCTTTCTCCTCTATAATAGGAAGCAGAACTCATCCAAGCACCAGGAAGGAAGGCACTTGCCTCCTCCAGTACAGCCACCACCTCCCTTTCACTAGATGTCAGTATTGCTTTTCCTCAAGAGAAAGCTAAGCAGTAGCATAAAAAAAAAAAAAAAATCAAAAAAGCAATTTTTCATCTTTAAAGCTGCAGACTGCACCATCATCTAAGACAAAGGTAGAAAGCAGGTGACACTCTGCTGCTCTGCAAAGCTACAGACGATGCATTCAAATGAATGTTTTGTTATCAATACCTTAAACCCAGATGAAAAATCACCACCTCTGTGTTAAATGATGCATACTAAGCAGCTTGTTAAATACAAATACTAAAACCACATCTCATGCAGTTTCAACATTAATTGGGTAATTTATTGCACTTTTCTAAGGCACATTAATTTCAACTTCAGATACTTGCCTCCGTTAACTACTCTTTGATCTGCTCCAGAGTTAGGACTGAAATCTGAAGTGTGGGATCCAGACCTTGAAATTGGTGGGCCTGATCCAGACTGGCCCATCCTTGGTGAATTTTGTCTTCCACTTCCCCAGGACAGAACATCCCTGTTTCTCCCGCCAGGTGGGACGTACTTACTTTCCCTGAAACACAGCAAATTTCTATCAGCATTGAAGAAGATCTGGAAAATAACGAGTTCAAGAACTCTCTGCTGATACTTCCTATCTTTCTCAAAACAAGCTCAAAATACAATCAGATGTTGATCAAATATTCACCCTATGAATCATCCTTTGATACTCACTATACTTTCCACTACTTAAGAGCCCACAGACACTGAATGCATTAGTACTAAGGCCTGAAATTCTCCATGACACGCTGAAACCACTGCCTTTTCCTGTAATTTGGTATGAATTCACCACAGTGAAATATCAGAATGGAGAAGTCTGTTTCGTTACAGATAACACAGGGCCAAGTAGAGGTGTACAGGTCAGCACGAGTGCCAAAACCAGCAAGTGATTGTTTACACAAGATTCCTAACCTAATCAGCCCTGCTGAAAAAGCACAGTTTCAATGAGTAAATTGCTACTGTACCAAAATATGTACATCATTTAAATAAAAATACTGTTCATAGCGTATGCAAGTACCTAGTGTTCACACCATGACCTTCTCGCTCATTAGCATTTCTCTGAACAGCAGTATATTTTTCTTCTTCTGTTCTTTCATCATTTTCCAAGGCAACCCGAGCTTTGTATTGGGCACTTGATTCAATTTCCTCTGCTAATTGAGTTGCTCTGGCTTCCCGTTTCAAAAACTCTTCTGAATTATCTCTTTCTAATGGCACCCTGAAAGACAATGGAAGGCAAAGAACATCTGAAATGAATTCAGAAGTACAAAGAACCTACAAAATTATATAGCATTAATTCTAGGCGGACAAATTGCAAACCAAAATAATAAAAATAAAAAAAATAACACACAAGCTGCTTTTAAGCCAGGAGACTTGCTATGCTTTTTTGAGAATAGCAATATTTCTGGACTGGTTTGACATTACTTACAAAATCAGTGCCATTTACCTGCCTAGAGAACTGAGGTCAGGATGCAGAGCTTTTTCGTAGGACATGCAGATTCCCAAGTCCCTAAAGCTATGCAAAGTCTCCTACTTTTAACGGGGCTGAGCACATTAGCAACAAAAAGGCCTCAGCCCATTATTTAGATAGGAAGCTAATTCAAGAGACCAAATTTGAATTGGTTTAGCAATTTACACATTCACAATAGATGTAAGAGTCCCAACACTACTGAAGTTAAGAGTTACAAACTTAATCCTCCCATAATTCTAGCCACAGAATTTCAGTTCTTCCAGTTATGAGTAACTGCAGAAAAGATGAATGCTGTACTTCACAGCACGGGACCAGAAACCCAAGACTCACTTTCCATGTCCTGGAACCTCAAAACCATTCATTCTATGCATTACAATATCAGGTAATATCACACTGCAACAATCACATGCAGCCCTTTTGGGAAAGGCACCAAACAAGAACTCAGTACACAAGCAATGAATTACTAACATAATGAACTACATGACACCACAACTGAGCTGACACTGCCTTCTGTCCATCTGCCATTGCTGTTTTTTACTGCTCTAATTTTTGTGTTAGGTTTTATGAAATAACTGTTCTGTGATTCTGGTTCAAATTTTAAATTCTGAAGGTTGTTTCATTGACTTTACTTTAGAATATGCTACACAGAGCTGAGACTCTGACCATGCAATGCTTGGTATTAGATAACAGGTACTGCACTCATTTAGGATAATATAAACAAAGAACAAAGGAAGTAGTTGGAGAAACAGCCCAAGTAAGAAATAATACATGCAAGATTACTCAAGTGTTGGTGGCAAGGCTATGAAAGCAAGTGGCTTTGCCAAACTGTAACACAGAGCTCTGCTACTGCAGCAGAAGTCTCCCTCCTCACACACACTTTTGGCCAGCTGCTGCCATTATCAATGGTGGCTAAGGGGATGAAAGAGAAAGCACAGCCTCACAAATAATGTGAGCGCAGCAGCCACCAACACAGCCAAGGAGCTTGCTTGCTAGAACATGAACTTGTGCCTTTATGCAGACTGACAAACTATACCTGGTACTGCTAAGCTCTGGGAAGATAAAAAATGAACAGTAAACCCTGTACAATCCTTCAATTGCACAGGTAAGCATTTAGCTGGACCATGCTCATCGTATGCTTGGAAAATCAGAATAAGTTTCCCAACTAAAGCAACAAAATGCAAAGCAAGTTGCTTGGCTAGGAAATAATGGAATTTGTCTCCAGCAATTAAAAGCCACCTTCATGTTCTTAATTTGTGTCCATTAATACCCATAAAGCGGAAAGATCGCAGACTAAAGTTCAGAAGTACAAAGAGCACTTCAGTATACTTCATTGCTCTAGGAACAGCTTCCCTAGGATGCAGACATACGCCAATTAAGCTTTTGTTAGAACACATCTATAATGTGACAATAAAACGTTGAACAAGAGATGTGCAGACAAAAAAATTAGAAAATAAAAATAATCACTGCAATTCCTGGACATTCACAACCAAGTTTTAATACTTTGTGGGCAAAAAGAGTGGGAAAATAAAGACATTTCATGATGGCTGTTCAACATCTGCAACTGGTTTGTGTTGTAGTTGCAGTGAATGCTATAGCTGCAGACTACTGGGAATGGGTCCAGGCTGCCAAAGTAAGCACAGCAGACTTCATACTTCTTCTATACTCAAGCTGTTATTATACTGTAACTAAAACTTTAGGTCTGCACAAGTCTGCTAAATAAGTTATCCACAGCACAAAACCCCCTCGAAATATCAGCAGCATTTCAAGGCTCCAATACCTACATTATGAATAATCACAATAAAATTAGGATTTAATCAACTGTTCTGCTGGGTGAAACATAAACTGTGCATATGGCAGCTACATAAAGACACATTATAGTTTCACAATTTGGTATTTTTCACTCCACTTGTAAAAGTTTTTCTAAGAATTAAGCGTTATTGCATGCCTAAATTCAGAAAATGTTGCAACGGGAATGAACTGTGCCCATTTAAGGGAATATATACAGATTGCTACATAAACTATTCACAGAAATCTGGCAAGGTTTCTTAAGCACTATTCATTCATTATTTTTTTTTTCCAGATATTTGATTCCAAACCTTAGAAAGTATATAAAATTATCTTGAGAATACAAGTTTTGTCACATCAGGGAAAACATTAAATACACATCTAATAAGAAAATATTTTAGAACTTACGTGTAAGAAGATAAACTGCTGTCATATGTTGATATTACACCATAATTTTCTTCATTGTAACGAAACATGTCATTGGGATCCCATCCATTGGACTAGAAGAAAATAATGCTTGTTTTTCAAAATGTCATTGGAACCACCTTCCCTTAAAATGAAGGGCTGGTGGCAGGAGTCAAACCTTTTGCTCTTTTGTCTTGGCTTACAAATTCACTGTTCATATCAGAAAGTTAGCAGAGCCACGGTTTATTTCAGGGGTCTTTGTTCATCAGATGTATGTACTTGGTCCTAAAAAGCCAGTTAGGTTTCTTTTTTGCTTTGCAGTTGGTTGGTTTCTGTTCTCTAAGCACCATGCCCACTCTGTACTAGTTAATGGCTAACACAGTATGCAGTTCTGAATGTTAGGAGCATCCCTTGCTATGACAAGCACTGATACTTCCCAAAAGCACTATTAATGCAATTATCTGAGACACACACTGCAGGCAGAAGACCCCTGGTGATCAGGGCAACTTCCCCACTTCATGAAGTATGCTACTACAGCACTTGAGACTTAACCTTCACAGATGATTAATGCTTTGAGTGTTTCATAAAAGCACTGGCAGCATTATGTATTCCAACAAATCTCAGCTGTACAGTACATACACCAAAATTGACAGGGTAACTGTTCCAGCAAGACAAAGTTAATATTCTCCACAATAACTTGACTCCATTCTTGCCTTTAACACAATGCAGCACAATACCTTGCTAAGAAGAATGCATGGTTGAGGAAAAGCTGACTGCTATGATATACAAAGAAGCTCATTTAAGAACATACTCTTCATCTAACGATGCATAATCTGCTGAGATTGTACCTGTGCTTATTAAACCATGGGTCAGTCTCCTATCAATTTCCTTCATCTTAGCTCCGAGACAGCTAAGCACAATTTCACCATCATTCACAAATGCAGTGATCGTCAGACAGGAATGCCCTGATTAAACATAAGCGACTTCAGTGTGCTGCTGAATGTGGAGTTCTTAATAAAAGCTCCTTTTTCAGCCAGTCCTCAAATCAAACAAGTTCCTTACCCCAGCAGCTGCCATTTGTCAATATTTGCCAAAAGTGGCATTTGAAATCCAGCTATTCTTGCTCAAATTTTTAAAAAGTGCTGGGGTAGCCGCTAGCAAAGACTGAACACGTGGTGATATAGGCCAGCATCTTCAGCCCCACTACTAGATTAAAATTAAGGGATGTTTGTGGCAAGGCATATCCAAAGAAGCAGCCTGCTTTCTAGAGACCACCAGAACCAACAAAAAAGCATTACTTACAACATCTGTCTCCAGTGCCTCAAGCTCCTCGTTAGCGCTGGTCTCTCCTCCATCCCACGGCTCAAGATCCTTTTCTTTGTGCTCACCATTTACTTTAGCACTGATGGCTGAATCAGTAAAAGCATCTAGAAGGGAGTGGGAAGGGATGGAGGTGAAATCAGTTTGATTAGGCACAGGAAAACACTGGACTCACCAGTTTTTTTGAGGAACAACCAAACACAACTGGATTGCAGACACATTAACAGCATTCACCTCTTGTAGCTGCTGTGTTCCCTGAGACTACATCAGAGAGCTGTCTGCTGATGTTTAGAAAAACCAGGAAGTGCAGACTAACTTCAAATAAATCTAATCACAGGGTGGGTTTTCTTGCAACTTTAAGTATGAGACAAGGTACCAAAGAATAGCAATAATTATTTGCAATTATTTCCAGAAGTTATACACAAACTGCACGTATGGTTTCTGCTAAGCATGGGACTACCTGGGGAGTGCCATTCCTACAGCAAATCCAAGATTCCTACAGTGTGCTTGTTGTCCAGGGAGCCTAACTAACTGCTAACAAATTATGCAAACAGGAAAAAAAAAAAAAAAAAAAAAGCATGAATGCACCCCATCCCTTAAATGAGCAGAATACAAGCTCCCCTCCATTTCCTGAGTTCCTTCTGTCTCCACAACTCACCACACCAGCATGCACGCACACAGCTGCACTCCCTTTGCAGTATAACTCAATTACCCATTAGCTTGGGGTACTCATTCAATGGGACAGCAACAGAGAAATGCTGTTTCCTGCAAGCTTTTTTCAGGTGGCAGCTTACCCACATCACACAGCAAGATTCAGAGACACTCTTTTTCTCAGCAACATATGAAAATAAATATGCCGTTGATTAGCCAGTGCACTAAGGGTATGCAATTTTTTATATAAATTGTAAAAAATTTCATAAAAGATAAAGAACACAAGCTTGTATTTTCACTTGTTCATGTTTCATTCAAGTCAGACTAAGAAAATGGCTGAAGAAATAATACTACAATATTGAAGTACTGTAAAAGGGGGAAAAAAAAGTACAAAACATTCATCAAGGAAGCCAAGCTTTTCTATTCTGTAAGCAACCGAATCTTAGAGCTGTCTGCAAATTCTTAGATTACTTAAACAGAAGAATTTTTAAAAATAAAATAAGCTTCTCTGAGTGCCTTCAGCCTAGAATTTCTCATTATAATTCTAAAGAAAACTAAGAAGCAAACACTTCAGGTCTTTAAAAAAGATGAGGTCAAACCACCAGGCAGTGCTAGATAGGAAGAGTATGGCTTAAATTAACTTTTGGCAAGATCCGAAATCCTACGAGGAGAAATGAACATGAAAGCCATCATGAAAAGAATTAACAACATCTGAAGTGATTTGTTGGCCACCAGTGTTGCAGAGTTTAAACAATTACTGAGGATTTTTCTTAAGAGACTGTCAACACAGCCTATTATCCCCGTTTTGCCCATTTCACAATCAAGTTTTGCCCATATATTGCCATGATCTATTCCCATGTATTGCCATTCTATCAGAACTGTGCTTAGCTCTGTATGGTACAGGACAGGCTGTCTCATGAAATGCTCAACTCATACAAAGAGACCAAAGAAACGACAGGGAAGCGATTCAGCATTTAAGCGTTGTTAATAAGCGTATGTGAAATAAAATGTTATAGAAGACGTACAGAAAGAAAGATGTCTATTAGCTAAGCATTCATTTCAAATACAAAAGAATCAGTAAAATGACGAAAAGAAAGCCAAATGAAGGAAGGGCACCCTAATGAGGAAAACCACTGTTAGGGCTCGTGTGAAGCTGCAAAAACCTGCATCAACCACCTGGTGAGACCTCGGGGCACAGTTCCCCAACAGAGCTGCGATAATTCCTCCACAGCTGAAGGTTAACACTTCCAAGTGAGATCATTTCAGCTTCTCACTACATCCGATGCCTCCAGCAGGCACATTCTGGGGTTATTGGTACACTGTTCTGAAACAGCCACGGTATTGTTGTGCTAAATAATAGTGCTGATGTAACTTTTCAGTGGTTGCAATTCCAGCTGCTTAGGATAGGTAACAATCAAGGGTGGGAACAGAAGTCATCGACTGACTGCAAGGTATTCCAAATGATTCTGTGAAGTTACACATGCATGTTTTACAGTGCTATAAATGCGCCAGCAAAGAGATTAAGCTTCCATTATATATTATGGTAACAGAAGCGTTATGAAAGGCAAGATGCAGAGACAGAGTGACTGCCAAAAAAATTACCTGTTTCTGAAGGAACTACAAACAAATATGGAGAGAGAAAAAAATGGAAGACATCAGATATAAACACAGGTGGGTTTTTTCCACATTATAAGTCTGAGTTCAGGCACAGCTACACTCTTTCAGTCCCTTTCGCAGACACATTCAAGCTGATTACACATCTCTCACCTTGCAAAGATGATTTCCATGTTAAAACTTCAGCAATATTCCCCCTATTCACAATCCCAGTATATTTCTCTATTTTGCTTTGCTAAAATCCCTCTGGACAGCCTTCAGATTTGTAAGGTATATCAATCTGTCAGAAAACATCTCAGTTTCCCTTCACGCAAACAGCTTTTAAGATACATTACAAGAACAGATGTTTAAATGTAAACGGGAACTACATAATAACAAAGTGCTATCTAAATCCACAGTGATGGAGCAACGAGAGCACACTCAGCTGGAAAGCAAAAGTAAAGCACTGGTATCTGGAAGCTGTACATTCACCTTATCAACACCCCATAGCCAACACAGCCATAATCTAGGCCAGCCAGTGCTGCTTCTGTGCCTACTGCCATTCATTCACTGCTTCATGCCTGATCCTCCCAGATCAGACATTTTACACCAAACCTAAGTTGGAGGCTGCCTGTGTCACTTGTGTGACATTTGCTTCCATGATGCTTCACTGGGGGAGAGGGGAACTTCCTCCAACAAGATGAGAAGACACGGACGTGGGGACTGAGGACAGCACCTGATGGAGGTAATGTCTGTATTCTCAGAGGGTTTAATTAATTTCTATTAAATAATTTCAGAAAAAAAAAAAACTCCACACAAAACGTTTTGGCATTCTAGATACTGCAAATAAAATAGTAGCTTAATAAGACTCATATTTAACCCACTAACTTTCCTATTTAAAAAGCCACATAAAAACCATCAGCAGAGTGCTGTCAAAAATTGTGATACAGATGAACTGGTGGGACAAGGCAACACAAAAACTGCACCACCTAATGAGTGTTACAGGCCTGAGGAAGATTCATACAAGCAATGCTAAGTTTCCCAGTAGAATCCAGTACATCACAGGGCACAGGATGTCCCTCTGCTCTTCACCTTTCTTTCATTTTAGGATACAAGTGAGACTGCAACATCAGCCTAACCTTAACAGCTCAAAAAAATCGAGTTAGGAAGAATTCAAGCTACAAAGGCAGACTTCTAGTCACACAGTACAGTCTCATGAGCAGTCTGAATGTAGCAGAAAGGTACTTCAAGGCACAGCTCACTATTATCCTGGAACAAACAGTCAGAAAGACACAGAGGGACACCAAGATTAAAAAGAAGACAAGACAAACAAGGCATGAACAAAACTGATGAGCAGCACAACTGAGAACACACAAATTCTTCAAATCATTGTTTCCAAAACAAAGATACTGCTCTTAAGATTATTAAGAAAGTAGAAGCTGAAGCAAACTGCTGCTCTGGGTGCCAACTGGCAGAGGGTTAGCACGCAAGATATCGACTGCGTGCTCACACTCCCCTTTGCTGGGGCCCCGTATCTCTGAGCTGTTGAAGGAGCACTTCACGTGACACCTTGACACGGCCAAATTTATATCCAGTTCATTTTGTATATGGGTAAAACTCAAATAAATGATCAAATGAGAGCTGGCCATAAAGAAGTGTGAGTTGTATGTAAGCCTCCACTAGCTCCCAATGCCTCTGAACCCACTTTGCATGAAGTCTCCAAGCAAAGAAGTTTCCTATGTTAAGGCCTCACTTCTTGTCTCAGCCTGCTAAATGGGAAAAAAAAAATCCCAAGGACAACTTTACACAACAGAAATTCACATGAAGCAGAAGCAAATCAAGTATACGCATTCTAAGAAAAGCCTCAGCTTGGGCAAATTCTTCAAGTGTGTGCTATTAGGTGACTTAGAGAAAGGATTGCCAGAATGGAGCAATTAAGAGTCCAGGTTTGATCAAATTTGGCATTATAAAAGCTTGTTTTCTCAAACATGTTTTGTGCTCATGGGGAAGAGCACAAATATGCATTTAAGCATAGTTCAAAAGCCATTAAGCCAACGTGCATTAGGTGCCAAAGGTGTTTGTATTGCACACTGCAAACTTTGATCAAGTTCGCATGGCTCAAAGAAAATTGATGTTTCAGCTTAAATGTTACAAAACAACTAAGAGTTTACTGTTGAAACTACTTACTACTGATTTAAAACATTAGAACCAGTTACCACTAGTTCTCCAGGGCGAACATTTCCTTCCTTTGTTCACAATGTGCCTCCTGCTATTCCCCTTCCAACACTTTCTCTGGAAGAATGCCCCTTTCAGTGCTAATTCAAGGAAAAACTTAAATAGCCAGTTCTCTCTTGCCTTTTTTTTTTATTGGATTTGTATTACTTTTCTCAGAGCGTAGTGACTGTGCCAAAAAAACAATAAAAACATTGTAGAAGCCTATTACTTTAACAGTAGTTATGATCTTGAATTTTCTTGTCTTTAAAGAGGAGCCAAGAAGACAACTCAAGCCTTACTCAAATTTGAATCATATGCAAACCAGCAGAGCTGCCTGATCAGTGTTTAGGACTACAGGAAATGCTGTTAGAAGCTTATTCTGTAGAAATGTGCCCTTCTATTCCATTTGTATGGGCCCAATAATCTAACTAGCCAATCTGCTGGTACTGCAGAAAGCCCTGACTCCACTGAGTGACCCTCAGATGGTTCTTTTTGATTCCTTTTGAAGCCTGACAGGAATCTACTCAAGCACAAAGGTCTAGATAGACTGAAAAAGTTGCAAATAAGGGCTCAGGTAGCAAGGAGAGATTTATTTCTTGATGCTTAAGCTGTCAGAAAGTTCTTATCTACGCAGTCCTACTTTCCCCCCTCTCCCAACACTTCCAATTTCCACAGTCTAGGTAGGCACCACGCTTTCTCCACTGATTCAACTTAAGGTGCAATGTCATGCTTGGCATAGGCAAATTCAAGGCTGTTGCTTCCAAACAGAGTAGTTTCACTCACCTCCAGCTTATACTGCCATTACCTTCCCTGTACTCATACTGATGCTGCTGCAGGATTAATTATCAGCTCGTTGCCCCAAAGCTGCACAAGTAAGATAGCAATGAAAGGTGCTTGGCAGACTACTTTGGATGTTTTTTTTTTCAGAGATAACCGTATTTTCCACTCCTTCTGAAAGAAGAATCCATCCCATTCCCCTTCTTTCTACCTATTGCTCTTTACCACTCCTCTTCCAGTCCGCTTTTCTGACTTTGACACAAAGACAGAGACAACGAAGCAAACACCTCTGCTGTTCAAGTCTGAGGGTAATTCAGAAGATCAGTACTCAAAATCTAAGGAGCACCATTTGGCCAAAGCCCCCCCAGCTCAACATAGAAGCAAATGCCAGAATAAAAATTCACACGACCCCAGACACAGCATAGTATCTTCTGAAGAAAGTAAGTTTACTTCAAGGGCTCCTCAGAAGTCTTGCATTTGTCTGAGAACAGGAGGGAGAAACCAAACACATACACTCCCCCCCAATAAACTCTAGTCTAGCGAGCCTCTCCTGCAGCAACCAAGTGCCTGAGGAGTGCCCTTTTGTTTGATTACATTTTCAAGTGACAGCAAGCTTTCTTTCCAATGCAGCATCTCCAAACAGCATACTGCCTTGTCTGAAATTGCCTGCCCATCAGTGTCTTTTGGCTATTTTAAAATACTTCTTCATGGGTCTGTAGAAGCTAATAGCCTTTGTTTTGTATGAAGCTCAGCACCATCAAATGGAGCTGAGCACCAGATGGTAACAACTCAGTGCAAACATAGCAGGGAGCACAATCCCCTCACCTAGAAGTTCAAATTCAGTCTTTACTGTGGATCACATAGACTTATCTGACCCTGTCACCAAGACTTGGGTTCCTCTACAAGAACAAAACGCCCACAGTTCCTCTTTGCATGTGTGTTCATACACACTCATGCTTTTGAATCTTTGCTAACTTAACTTCCCAAGAAGCAGAAAGCCTTTCATTGCTCTCACGTGCAGGTGTGATCAGAGACTTGCTTGCTCTTTCAAGTGTGGTTTCACGATAATAAGTTGTTGAGACAAAATGGAAAGCAGATTAATTTACCCACTGTGAGTTATCAAGTTCTGCAGCCTTCCAGTTTATCTCACTGTCTGTACAGTTTTATTTCAGCTCTCCTCTCCAGCTACTTAAAAGATTTAGATGCAAAGACATTCCACCTCATAATGCAAACTGAGTGACTGTTCAACATAAAGCAGTCGTTTTCTTCTAGAAAACTGCCATTCAGTAATTATTCCTAGAAGTAGTAGATTTTTCATTCCATCTGCTCACTAGAAATCTAGAAAGGCAGGGTAATGGAGAATCCAGTTTGCATTTACATTAAAGAGATGTTCATAGCAGATCCATTATAAGACAGCTTTTGTGTAATTCAAAGTCAAAATCCTATCCAGAACCTGGAACACATCTGCATTTCAATGCTACTGTTGCTCTGATATTATGCATCCTTCTTTGAGGAAAAGCAAATTCCTTGAAACAAGCATCTTATCCTTCAGCCTTAAATCAGGCAAGAACACACACATGTGGAAATACAAGATGAAGAGCAAAAATCTCTCCAAATTTCTATGAATCCATACATCTTTAAGTCGCTGCTACCTGGGAATAAAGCATGTGTGTAGCAATGAACACTTGGCTCCCAGTGACAATTGCTGACCAACCTGAAAATCTACAAACATGCAGCTTCACTCCTTGGCATTGAAAGACATAAAAAGCATCAAAAAAATGTATATAAAACTTTTGAAATCTTGACTTATGATCTTAAAATACAAATAACTTTAAGAATCTTAAAAAATGTATACCTCTTCTTGCGTAATTGGTATCCATATCCTTAAAATGCACCATAACAAAATCTGAAGACTTGAATAAAATACTTTCTAGTATGTCTTCACGTTTTGGCCCCAAACTGGATTCTGCAGTTTTCCGATGAGCAGCATCAAGCACTAAATCACACTAGTAGAGATAAAAAGAATATCCTAATTGAATACACCATAGACTACTGGTAACTGACATGCTTGGGAAAAGCACACATTTACAGAGGTTTGCAAAAATGAATCTGCATGTGTAAGCCTAAACATGGGTCAGAACAACTGATAATAAATATTCCAATTTAATGAAGCATCAATTATACAGTATTTGTACCTTTCAAAAGAAGGAAGAGCCAAAAAGGAAGAAAAAAATTACCTTAGGACTGTAGGTTTTAAAAACTCCTTCATATATACCACCATTTTTCACCTGTACTTCACATTTGGATCCCTAGAATGCAAGAAAAATCCAAGTGTAGCACTCTGTCAGCCTGACAAATGATACGAGTGATTTTCTCAAAAATACATATTTACAGAAGCACAATGTGTAAAAAACTAAACCAAAAAGCTCAGTTTTCAGTCAAATCTTTTTTTTTCACCCAAATTTTTTCAACATTTGCCCATTTACAAACACGTCTCTGCGTGCCACAGAGACAAACACTGGGGTATGTCCCAGAGTTTATTAAAGATACTCATGAAAGCGTTTTCGGTACACATGAGACTTTTGATTAGCTATGCATGCATGCAAACAAGTCTTTGTGCAAAAACAAATCCGTGCATATGCATGGGCATAAGTAAGGTTAAAGTTTTAGCCCAGATTCTAGCTGCTGTGGGACAGTGTGTCACCAAATTTTGTCATGTTCCCTTAACAACCTGAAGGGAGAAGGGCTTCTGCTGCCTGTATATAAATGTATTACTTATTCATAATGCCTCTGGAGACATTAAATTCAAAATACAACCAACGAGCGTAAGAAATCTGCCATCCCAAATATAATTTGCAGTTTTTCAAGCCAAAAATACACAATAGCTATTACTATGACTGTTTAAATTTCAATCTTGGAACAGGATGCCCACTGTTGAACTTTATTATTCACTCTATTATATTACAATTAGTGTAATATTTAACAATTCTCTGTCACTATAGAAACTGTTTACACGCCTTGCAAATATGAGGACTTACAACAACTGATGTAAGTATGTGAACCATTCTCATGTTTGCATAGATGCCATCAAAAGAAATCTGGAAAAAAAAACCAAAAAAGTTGTCATTTTTATGGGAAACACTTGTAATTCAGAAAGGCAACGCTACAGGAACAAAGTCAGCTCTCAGCAGTACAGAACAGCTGCTAGAAAGACTGGTCAAAAAACCTCACTTGGTCAGTATACACTGAATTTAAGTCCCAGCAGATGTCCAGAGGACCCTTTCTCTGATCAATTAAATATCAGAGCAGCCTTAAAAACATGAGAAACCTTATAGTGTGCCTCAACCCAATATCAATCCCATTAATGGGTGGATAAAACTCACATACCAAGTCTCACAACTGAGAAGCCCTCCTAGCAGCCCTCCCTGGGAACAGGGACAAGGCACCTCAACTGTTGCTGAAGGAGAAATGTTCCCTGAACTACATCTTTGAAGTAAACAGACCTGATGACATGCATTAACAGGACATGAAGTCGTCCAGTTGTGAACTGCTAAAGAGCTACAAAGCCTATTATAAAACTAGTGGCCAAAAGCCACTCACTGCAGTTCCAGAACCCAGAAACCAACATATTTAAGGATGCTCCTGTGCTCAACACTTAGTAAGGAACACAGAAGGCCTAACGCTTCCTACTTGTACATCACCTTTTTCACTGCTCTCCCTCAAAGCCTCTTTATTTTTACTGAAGAGACCCATTATCTTCAATATACACTTATAGAGGTAAACTGTAGTCCTTTCAGCCCTTCCTACTCCTGCCCCATTCCCTAGAACTAGTCATCCTTGAGAAACAGGCCACTAACAAATTAGCAAATATTTGATTAGTGCAGTTCAAAGATCCGTTTTCTGAATCAAGACCCAGATCTTTACCTTCCACAACATATCCTACAAACCAAGTCACATCCATGGTGCAACAGTGTATTGGCCTTGAGAATAACTAAAGTTACACACACAGGTAACAGTGGCTTAGCTACAATAACATTACATTAGCTATTTTGTAGTAAAGCTGAACACAATTGCTACTTCTATTTGACAAAGCCTTGTCTCCCTGCCTTCAGTCCTCTGTTTAAAGAAATCAGTTCAGAGAGTTTCCAGAGAGGCAACGCTTTTGAATCTGTTCCCAAGTTAAAATTTATCCATGTATTTGCAACTATAATCACAAGAAAGATTTTTATTGGCATGTTTCAAATGTTTAAGAGTTCCTTCTCTCCCCATTCTCCCAGGAGACTTAGATCATAGAATCACAGACTCAGATGAATGCGAGATTTTCTACATTTAAAAAAGCACATCTCAGTCTAAAATACTCATTGAGGTATCGAAAGGAAAAAAAATTAGATTATTCCACAATGTGCCATTTTCACATTGCTAAGAAAGGCCACCAGAGAAGCTGTTTCCTTGTATCTAAAGAGGAAACAACAAGGAAAAAATACTCACTGTGGGCTGAGGCGGTCCTTTGCCACTGCTGCGACCTCTGAAAGGAAACACAGACAGAAGACACAACTCAGAAATGTTGAAAAGGATCAATTTCTTAACAAATTCAAAAACCAAACTTCATTTTGTGCTGAGAATCAGAGCAAAGAAAACCAGCTCTTCCCCAGAGCCAAACTTAGCAGTTGCACCGCCTGTAGCATCTATCCTTCAAATTACTGATCTACAAGCAAGACCAGTAAATGGGTAAAAAGGTTACCTACAATAAATGGCAAAACAAAGAAAATACCAGTGCTGTGTCATTACAGAAATCCACACATATTCTCTCTCTAGCAGAATCCTGCAGCTAAAGGAAACTCCAAAGCCTATTGGCACGCAGAACCAAAACTGCTCCACTGCACTTCCAGGCTCAGAACCTCACAGCCATTTCTCTAGGCCTGGTCTCTCCTCACTGCCACCATCTTTCTGGTTGAGGGCCACCCAACCAACTGCCCACAAGGCCCAGTTCTCAGTCCCTACTTAGAGCTTATGAGAGCAGCAGCCACACACAGCCCCTCAAAACCAGTAACCACATGCAAACCAGTGAACACCTTACAACCTCAATGTTTCAAAATGCCTTTAAATTAACTCGTAGACTCTTAATGCTCTGCAAACTGAGATGCAACAGTCTGTGCCCTTCAACTCAGCCCTAGAAGTGCCAACAGCATCCCTGTAGCTGCAATAAAACCTCAGCTTGGTTGGTGTGCTTCATGTCCTTGTGTCCAAATTCCCTCTGAACAAGCAGCAGCCCTAGTTCCAGCTACTTTTTTGTAGTGATTGAGGTTTGTATCACAATAGGAAGCCCTACTTTCAAATCCTCCTTGTGATAACCGAGATTTGTATCATAATGACGACTTAAGAGTGCACCCAATAAGAGCAAAGCAAAATGAACTCTTCAATTTTATTCAGAAAAAAATCAATTTCTTGAAACTGACTCACCTTACAGATGCACATCCATTTAATTAGAGACCCAAAGAACCACGCTCATGTTTCAAAACAGTCAAACAATGCTGAAACCTAAACAGCAAATGTGTTCAATTGCTTCTGAAAACGCTGTGCTGCAGTAGAAGGCAGCTGTGCTCCAAACCATGCCCTTGTGAGCAGGACTCATGAGCTGGTCAAGGAATTAAAGGGTCTTCTCATGAGCACTAATTTTGCAGACATCAGCAAATCCATCAGAGGAGCAGGAAAGTCCTTAGCAAGGAAAAAATGAAATCCACTGACCGATCACCTGAGCAGTTTGAGAAAGCAAGCTTGTGAGCCCGACGTGCTGTGCTGTACAGCATTGCTCCCCCCGATGACATTTGCTGATTGGTAATAAATGCAGACCTCAGATGTCAAGCTGGCATTTTCAGGATACTTGTAGAGTTCTAATCTCATACACACAAAAAAAAATCTAAACCAAATAGCCCTTATTTAATTACCTATAAGCCTTGGCTTTCCAGAAGACAGAGTCACAACTTTTGGCTCTCTGGCGACCAGCAAGTCTTACCATTGAGTAAGCCTGCCATTTGTCCAGTGACTGCCTGCCTCCAGTGCTGGAGCCTGCAACAGTTTTAGCAACATTTTCAGTTGAACCACACTCTTCTTTTGGGATGCCATTCCACCAGATGCAAAATGCCCCCAATAAAAGGGTCAGATTCAGCTCTGATTCCTTCTCTTATCATAATCCAAAGTTGCAACAAAACTGCCATGCAGAGAACATGGAGGAAGCCCAAATAATTCCATCAGTTCCCTCTGTTGGTCTCAAGAATTCAGAAGCCATCCCTTTCTGCACCAGTTACAGAAAGGGCCAGAAGCAAGAGCGCGGTGCCTTTGCTGCACTCCCACAGCTCCCACATGCATCCTTAGAATTTCACTAACTGGGCTCCTAGACTGGTCAGCAAGTTCAGAGCATTCTGTTCAAGCATTCAACCTGAAGCATCCTGGATTTTCCACCTCCTACATGTCCCCTATTACCATTCCCATCACACACCTCCAAGAAGCCATCTGACCGTGCGCATCCACGCTGGCAAAAGGAAAGGCTGCAGCTTCTGCATCAGAGCAAGAGAAAGGACAAATATGGAGCTCCGAGCCCTGCTCCAACCAGACATACCTCTTTACAGACCTAACCTCTTTTTCTAGCTGCGACTTTTCAATACAGTCTCAAGTAAAACAATCATCACCATTTTAAACAAATCAGCCAACGCTCAATCAAAACCCTATGCAAATTCTGCTAAAACCAAGACCATCAACTTGAGGTCTGTAACCCAACATGTGAAGGCTCAAGCTCAGATCACCCTTTCACACATCTTTAATGAACTATATGAAAAATAAGCTAAGACCTTTACAAAAGCAGAAGGCAGATGGTCTTTGCCGGAAGCAATTCAGCGCAATGCAAAACAGGAGAGCAAAAATGGAGTGGGAGAAATCAGAAGGGTCACCAGCAATCCTGCACTGCTATCTACAACCACATGGTGAATTAAAAATACATTTTATATTGCAGAAATGTGGTTGAATGTAGGCCTTGGAGAAGGCAGAGCAACTTGGCAAATCAAACTTGCAACCCCATTCCAACGCTGCAGGGTAGGAAAGTCACAGTCAGAAACTGCTGCACCAGACAAAGTAAGTCGACCAAGTAATTAATCTCAGTAGCCAACTCACTGCAGGTTAGTGCTTGTGCTTCAAGAGTGAAAGTCTACACAAGAGCTTCATCCCAAATGCTGCACAATAAACATCCCAGGAGCAATTTGCAATTTTTTTCTATTTTTCTGAACATTTGCTATCCTCAACATCCCACACCTCCCCTCCTGATGTTTACACGCCAAGTAGAGTGTTTGTGTAAGCAAAACAAGGTCATGCATTTATGTCTTTACAGCTAAGTGAAAACTAATGCAAGGAAGGCAAGTCTCTCCAGGATGTGAAGTTCTTTCCAAGAGCATCTTCACTTTGAGACCAAGAAACAGATGCAGCCACCCTGCAATTAATGTCTGCAGCAGAAGTGCAACTACAAAGCTCACTGAACTTAATAGAGCAAATGGATGTTTCTGGAGCACTGACTGCATCACCACAGCTTTGAAAACAATTCAAGGATACTCTGAAGAACTTTCATTACAAGTGCAGTGAGCTGATAAAGCTTTCTTCTAAGGCAGAATTCAGAAGTACAAAGTTCAGACCTCATTTAAGAATAGCAATTGGTTATGTAGAAGTCAAATGGACCAAAGCTGTCAAATTAACGCCACGCAAAAGTGCTGCAGTGCTGCCTTCAGTAGTTTTGCCCAATGCTGACATCATTCACATCAACTCTTGCCTTCTTACAAGAGGACGAGTTCTGCAGCACCCCATCACACAGGGACACCTGAGCCAAGCACGCAGGCACGGCCCATTGATGGACGTGGGCACTGAGGAACCTTCGTGTACACTGCCATAAATCAGCCACCACATTAAAACTTACTCAAAAGCAGGTATGGGGGATCACTCAAACACATTAACTGCTCTAAGGAAAGAGACCTGCAGGTTACCCATTCATTTTGCTCAGCAGTTTAGCACAGCTGCTCTAAACCCAACACAAAGACATTAGAATGAACTAGAAAACCTCTGACTGATGTGTGACCAAACCTCCAGAACAGTCCCTTGCATTATTTCAGAGCGCCTTGGTGCTCAATATTCCCAATTACTTCTACAGAACAGAACGGACACCTCCCTTCTACCCTGTCCTTCAACCTTTTGTGAGGTTAGTAACAAAGGCTATCAAGAAAAAAGAAAATAAGAGAAGGCAAAAAGCATTAAGCCTCAAAAGCAAGCTACATAACATGGGGTAATTTCAGTTTAAATTTCTTAATGGTTAAAGTAACTCATAAAAGCAGCAGCAGACTATTTCTTAAAGGGCAGGTTCATTTTGGCAAGAAAGTTCCCAAACAAAAAGGATTTTTTGCCACAATTGTAACCAGAGATGTAATCCTCCAAAACCAGAGCCTGCAGTGATTTGCCTTCAGCCAAAACCCCAGTGGGAAAAAAAAAAAGATAAAAATAGTTGCAGCATTCAACAGAAAGCTGATACAGATGTATTTTCTAATCACAGAACTGCTAACCTTGCTAGGCCTGTATTGGGGAAAAACCTGAACCGACACACCAGCAATTTAGAATAGTTAAGATCTTGAGGAGCATGGCAGAGCAGGTTCACACAAGGTCTACATTTTCTCCAGTTACAGCTCACCATGCTGTTGGCATCCCCTGTTCTCCAAACCCCCACTTCCCACCTGTCCCATTCTACAAACAGCCACCACCAAATAAAGGTAGAAATTCACTTAGCACTCATTTCAAAAACATTCATTAACCCTTCTTGCTGACTTTTAGACACCTTTAAGGAAACTTTCCTTTGTGATTTTCCTCCCCAGGGTAAATGGGGAAGGAACAGCAGTGGAAAGCAAACATGGGGATACCCTCATCTTTCACACAAGATCCTACCTTTCCTATTACAAAATATGTTACAAGACCATTAGGATGGATATCTTACTAAAATTTCATTTAAAGACCATGGAGACACACAAAGTTGTCCCCCTCCTCTCACTACCAGATGAGGAAGGACCAGGTACTCTCTCCACTAAGCACTGCGGTAATAAGGACACAGAAATTGGGCCCACAACTGTTGACTATTAAACAACTTTCTACTCAAATCTGAGTCAAAATTGATGAGATTTGAGTCTACTCAATTTTTATGAAAAACTTTGCCGTGAAATGTAACCTTTTTTTTTTTTTTTTTTTTGGCATGTCACAAGAAAAACAAAACTAGAAAGCTTTGCAAAAAATGAGGGGCGTTCAACTCAACACTTCCAATCGAAACCAAGATGCAGGCCAGCTAAAATCAGTGTGGTTTTTTTTTTTTTTCCAAACAGAAAAGCCTCTTTGCTGTTAATTTAGAGGACAAAATTTGCAACGTGAACCATCTTTAAATTTGTTGTCCAGAAAAGACTTGACACCTCCTTAGGAAAGCATTGGGAAAAGTACTCTGAAGGTATCCCATGGGGACCCATCAACATGAGTGCTGTGATCTTACTGAAACATTACTCAGAATTACATTGAAGAATTATTACAACTATTATTTTATTTTATTTTTTTTTTAAGAGAGAGATTGGGAACACCTTGGTTGTCCAGCAGCCCCGTTACAACTTCCCAAGTTCTGAAATGGAACCTATCCAACAAAACTGAGAGGAGAAACCCAACGGTCGTGATTTTAGAGCTTGACAAAGGAATCAAAGCTCACAGCTCTTCACCTAATGAGCCCAAAGCTCACAATAACTCCAAATCCCACCAAAAAAAACCTTCCAAAAAGCTGTAGGTTTTGTTGTCCTTCACGTTAACCTCCACGGTGCCGCTGTCTGTCAGCGAGGCACAGCCAACATCACGGCCATCGCAGTGCCACGCGCGGGAGCCATGAAATCATGGCACTGGCTGCTGGGCACTGCTGGCATTGGGGTTTCTTTGGGTTTTTGGGGCTCTTTTTGCTCTTTCCCACCCTCCCAGTGCTGCTCCGGTCCCACAGATGGGTAATGACGTACTGCTGGGTTTTTCAGGGCTGTGCAACAATGACACTGCCGTGGATTCTTTTATTGCCAAACGCACAAAACTGGGTAAAAATACAAGGCAAGCGGATGAGCTCCAAATGAGCTCCAAATGAGACTGCTCCCAGTGACCATGACCTTCAAATCTGCTCCCATCCCGCTTGGATCGCCGGGACACATAGAAAATGGGGGGGGGGGAAGAAAAAAAAAAAACAGACAAGACCCCAAAATGGTGTTTTCTGTGTGAGGATCCCCGCACCCAAAGGCCGCGATCCGCCCCGAGGCGGCGCGGGGAAGGGTGATCGGCAGCAGAAAAAGCGCGATGGGGGGGCGATAGGTGATTAAAAAAGAGCGACGGGGGATAAAACATAAAGGCCGGGGCCGGGGGGGGCGCGGGGGCCGGGGCCCAGCCCTCTGGGGGGCGCCGTGTGGGGGGGGCGGGAGCGCCCCTGGGAGGGCGCGCGGGGAGCCCCGCGGCCGCCGCCTCAGCACCACAGCGTCTCCTCAGCGCCGGGGCCCCACCGGGCCTCGGGGCTTCCACCGCGCCGCCGCCGCCACCTCGGGGTACAAAATGGAGGCCCCGCCGTGCCCTCCCCTCCCCTTTTCTCCCTCCTCCTCCTCCTCCCCCCCTCCCTCCCTGAAGGGCAACCCGCGGCCTCGCCCCGGCGGCACTGCGGAACCCCCTCCGCGCGCGCGGGGCCTTGCGTCCGCGCCCCGCCCGCCGCCATGCCGGCCGCCCCCCCC